TATTGACCCCCTTGCCGACGCCTTTGTGCCACTCTGGCTTTCTTTCATTCCGCCTTTTCTGCAATTTCAATGCACACACACTCTAGTGTGTCATTTGGCCTGCCACTTATTACATCACCCCAAGAAGGCGAAGGAGAGCGACACGATACCGTAGATAGTTAGATGGAAAGGCACGCGGCATTCAGGCCTCTAGTGATTTGGGTCAACCTGAGGCTCTGCTGCCAACAAATCTTTGCACAGACACAGACACGGCTTTATCGATGTCCTTCCGTTCCGTTTCGTTGTGGGGAAAAAGTTGGGGGAAAGTCAGTTCAGTTCAGTTTGTTGTTCTTGGCAAAACAGTTTAAAGTTTGATGAATTCAGTCGTTAGTTATTCTAAGATAGTTGTTCCAAGTATTTGTATTATTTAACTGTGCCATTGACAGAGCAATTCGTAGAGGTTTTATGCAGGAAAAACTATTATTTTGAGGAACACCACACCACTTTTATTTGAAATATTTCACAGAAAGTTGATTAGAACGTTTGGGTTCTTGGTGTGTCTTAACTTTGGCTCTGAATAGAGGTTAAAGCGAAATATTTTAGTTTTTAAAAAAGTTTAAAGCCTTTCTGCTAAAGGAAACTCTTTCTTTGATCAAAAATAACTATGAATAACCAAGGAAACCTAGAAAAACATAATAAATTCCAAACTAGATTCTGCTTCAGCTTAGGCCTTCCCCCATTCCCTAATTTTTCCCTCTCAAAACAACACTGGATCTCTGATCTTTTGTTGGTATCACGCCTTCCCCGCATGACTCAGTTCGTTTTGTTCTTTTTAATTTTAGACAAAATTGCCATAAAAACCAAAGGAAAAAAGAGCTAAAAAGCATTTATGCCTCAACATCGCTCGTCATTAGTTAGCTGCGTCAATTGTTGTTATTCGCCGCTCTCTGTTATTTATAAATGCCGCTGCTGCTGGGGCAGCCACGTAAATGCGTAAATGGTGACGGAAAGCGACAGAGAGAGAGATAGAGAGAGAGAGAGAGAGAGAGATTAGTTTCTGGAATTTCTTACTTCCAGTTAATCATATCGCTGTTGCCAGGCCGAATGCCCCAACAAGCTGACGAAAAAACCAGCAAAAATCGCAGGAAGACAACAACAAAAAATAAAGAATCATTCATAAAAATTTGTATAAAAAATCCGTCAGCCAGACAAGGGCAGTCTTCGTTTTTGGACTTGTCTGGCAGTGGTTGTTGTCGCTTCCCGTCTGCAGATAAAGAATCGAATGGCAAACATTCCGCAAGGCAATCCGTGATTACGTATACGCTCCGTAGGCCTTTCCTCCTCTTCCAATTCGTTTTGCTTTTGCCTTTTTGCGTGCGCGCGCGACTTTTGTGCTTGTAGTATCCGTATCTGTATCCGTATCTGCATCTGTGTGCTGTATGAGTGCGTGTATTTAGCAGATGATAAGTGCCAGAGTCCGCGTGCGTGGCTGATCATGCGACTGAGGGAATTAAAAGGGGGAAACGTTCTTTCCAAGCTGAATACTCTTTAGATGGTATAATGGACTTTGAGGGGCGCTTTAGGTTATTTTCAAAAAAATATTGAACGGTTTTTTTAAGTAAATAAGAAAGGTTTTGAGCAGAAAATTTAGATTTTTTAAATATTTCTCACACAAAAAATTAGTACAATACATTTTTTATACATAAATATTGGATTTTGGCAGTATTTCCTATAAAACAAATCAATATAAGCAGAAAACTATTTGATTTTTGAAGTATTACATATAAAATAAATTAATAGAATATATTTTGAGCAGAAAACTACTTGATGTTTGAAGTATTTTTCATTAAAAATAATTCATGAATACTTTTTGTATTAATTTTTAAGGAATTTCTTTTTTGAAAATGAATAAAATACAATATGAGTTAAAAAACTATATGGTTTTAAAGAGAATTTCTTATTAAAATAAATATATAATACATTTTGTATGTAGAGGAATTGAATTTTGAAAGTATTTCTTATTAAATAATTTAATAAAATACATTTTAAGTAAAAAACTCTTTAATTTTGGAAGTATGCTTCATAAAAAAATGTATAGAATACATTTTGTAAATAAAAGTATTACATTATGAAAGTATTTCTTACAAAATAAATAACTATTTTAATTTTCTAATAGTTTCTCATTAAAGGAAAATTTCAAAAATGTATCTTAATACAGGAAGTTGTCTTAATATAATATTTTATAGAACTTCTTCATTGATAGTTTTTCCCTTTATAAAAAGAAAATATTTCCCATAGCCCCAAAATAAAAGAAATATTATTTCTATAAACTTGAACTTAATTTTTCCTTTTAAAAACTTGAATCAAATAAGTACTTTTCCATCCAACTGCCCAGCTTAATCAGGCAAGCAATATTCCCCAACTCTGCTTTTATTTAGCAATGTTTTTCCACCTCAAAACGTTAGCTTCTTGTTGGTCTTCTAGCTGCTCTTGCAATTCGCAATTATTTTCTCTCTTTTTTTTTGGCCAAGTCAAACAGTAATTTATTTAAGTAGCGTTATGGCCCTGTATACTTTTTGGGTTTTGTAGCACTTCGGGTCACTTCCGGTGACGACAACTTCTTTGAAACTCTGCTTTCTGCTGGCGGCAAAGCCAGCGTCGACTTTTATGACCCAGATAAAAGTAAACGTGTTGGTCAACATGGCAGCCAGGGGAGAAGAGGAGGGGTTCATGAAGTGCTAATGAAAAATGCTCAGCATTTGCCTAATGAAATTATAACTGAGCCACTAAGTGGGCCATAAAGAGGAGCAAACAGCTTAGAGGAGGGAAAGAACGATGGCAATGGGCGAAGCGGCGTTTTGGGGCATTTTAGAAATTTTTTTCATTCAAACTGCCAGCAGGTCGACCATGTAACCCATTTAACGCACATGGTAGCGTTGAATTTGACAGGCAGAGAGGCACATAGAGCCGCATTTTCGTTTCTTTTTTATTCAGTTAACGCTTTTTAAGCTCATGAGCTAGCTTTTCATTTATCGATACACCTAAGCACACACGCACACAGTGACACAAATGAACAATAATTTATTTAATTGCCGGAGCTCTTGTTCTTTCGAAATTAGAACACACACACACTGCTGGCTGGCACGCGATTAAAAACTAACACACAAACACACAATGAATTTAGTAAGCTAAAACTGTTTATTAGCTGTCAGATATTCCACTCTATATAGATACAGCAGTGTAGTGTGTGTGTGTGCATATAGATGACACATCATCGCGTATACGCAGTGTGTGCAATGAACGCTCACTGTTTGGTGGCTTGTTTTAATTGCAAAAAATTCTGTTTGCTGTTTGCTACTTCTATTTGGTTGTTTGTTTTATTCGCTCCACTCGAAAAGTCAGTTTGTGTGGATTTAATTCTCCGATTATGCTACCTCTTGTACCTGCCTCTTGCTTTTGTTTGGGCCTAATGCCTGCTCAATGTTTTGGCCTCGTTTTGGATTTATTTGCCGTTCATGCGCCACACCTAACTAAAGTCAAGTAAAAAGCAGCCAAGCAAGTCGAAATTGAAGGCTGCATTGGCAGAGGCCCCCCTCATGGAAACGAATCTCTGCTCCAAAAAGCATTGGGAACTGCACCGACAAATTTTGGGTGCTTTCTCCACCCGCTGGATTAATATTTTTCAGCCTTTAATCTTGGCCCCTCGTGCTTATCTTATCTTTAACCACAAGAACTCGATTCCATTTTGATGTGTTTCCGCTGGGATTTCATAGGCTTTACATGGCGCTGAGTGATGGAACATACACAAATGGTGGAAAAGTCAGGGCGCAGCAGTAAATGACATTTGGTGACACACAAATGGCTTGTATAACCGATCGGCGATCGGTAATCAGCCAGCCGCATCGACCCACTTTTCACAAAACACCACACGGGCACACATCACACACCCTTCCCAGGGGCCTTATCATTATCAGCTGCGCACCTTGGCACCTGCGACGGCGGCGACTGCCATTGCCTTATCACCTCCGTTCCGTGAGCACAGATCCATGGTTCATTGTACTCGGATCTCTCATTCCCAAACCCGTTCACCTTTGTTCTGCATGCGTTTTTCGAGCTTTGTTTGATTTTGTCAGAGTTTGGTTTGTCCAATCCCTATAATAACACTGCCAGGAGAGAGAGAGAAAGAGATCGATCCGGACTGAGACTGGTCCAATAGCTGCCAAATGACACTGCCCGCCTCGCCGCCCAAAAAAAATAATAATAAAGAAACCGCGACGCCGCGATGTGCTCAACATAATTTTAGTTCTCGTTTCAGTTCAAAGAATATATATATAATACGAGAGAAGCGATAAGCAAAATAATGCATCCTTTGAAGGTTTTGGGTTGCGTGTCAGGAGTGCATTTGCACTGAAACATTTTGAAGCATGTAAATGCACTATCTGGTACGACATTCCGGAACGTACGATCTTCCCGAATGCAAGAAAATGCGAATACAAAACAATATAAAACATATTATATGCAATTTTTGTGATAGTGTCAAACTGATTATTCTTTACATTTAAATAGAGCTAAGTAAGTTTAACCCTAAGTAACATGAATATATGTATAAGAACTGGTTTTTTAAATAAAGAATACAAATAAAACATGAATATATCTTCTATGAAGAGCTAAAAACTGTATACGTATCTTGTGGTTTTATTTAATTACATTATAAAAATGGGGTACTTTGCTTCTAGAGAACAAAGTGGGGCAAGAGAGGTAACCTTCAGGTGCAAGGTTTCTTGGTCGCGAGCTTTCGATGACCTTGAACATGGCGACTCTAATTGAGCCAAGTATAAACTGCAATTAAGCCACGGGGGGCTGCAATTTTAAACTGAACTTGGGGCTAACCTAAACTAATTACAAGCCTCAAATGAAAGCTAAGAAAGACATACAAAAAGAGGTTACAAAATAAACCTGTAGTACTCACAAATACAGCTAATTTTTTGGACAACTAAAACTAAAGATTGCATATTTTACAGCGCCCTGTTCACCACCACCACCCCCGCCGACCGCATACAAGAGCTTTTTCCCGCGGCCACGCTACATAGCATAAATAGCAGCATAGAAAATCCCCCGACTTCATGCCGCCACTCGGGACCTGAAGGTGGCGCTCTTTGAACAAAAGCTCAGCGGATTTGAAGTTTCTACGAAAATCCGCAAGATGGTGAGGCTAATAGTGGTTTCTGCACAAAATATTCAAAAAATAACAGAACATTCAGTTTTGTCTTATCATCAATCATCCAGTAACCGCCGAGAGCCCCGAGAAATAACCAAATTAGTGTCAGTAGTCATCACAATCAATCAAACAATCCAAGTAACCTCAATTGGCTATGCGCTTTGGCAGTGTGGTTAGCTGGTTGTGTAGCCAATTATTGCCGCAGTCAATCCCACAGCCACTATCTTCACTGCCGCCGCGACAAGCTAAAGCAACGTTTAAGAATATCAAAAGGGGATTCACCTGGAAACAGCCGAGAAGAGAGGAGCTCGCCATTCTCAATACTTCTATACATCGGATTGCTGCAATACTACCGTAGATACTTGGAATATTTCAACGCTAACCGGACTTCCTGTAATACTTCCCAAGGGAATCTAGTAGAACTAACTAATCCTAAGCTTGTAACTGTAGTTGCTTATTAATATTAACAATAATAAGTCATCCTAAGGTCACACAAAGCAATAAATAAATCATAAATATTTATGTAGTGGCAAACTCTATCTTATAGATCTTGATTTGAAATCCTTTTTTGAGAAATCGCATATGGAAATATTCCTGCTCAATTGAGAAACCTCCAAGAGGGGTGTACAAAGAGAAGAAAAGTTCGATATTATGTATTCCTCTAAGTATCAAGTCAAAAATATTGTAAACCTTGATGTATCCAAATTTTAAACGGCGTAAAATACCGCATTTAACTTGTAAATATCGATTTTATCGAAAAAAATTCATAATTCCGATAATATCGAAAAATAAATCACTTCTGTTATCGAAAGAAAAAATTAATTTACTTAGAATCTCAACAATAATACATAGCAGAATATCAAAAATTAAAATGTCAATTTTTATACCGCATATAACTTTTAAATAAAGTTAACGAAAAATAATTTAAATACTCCATTCGATATATTAATCAGAATATCGATATATCGCATACATATCGCAAATAAATCGACTTTCACATCTTAGTATCGATACATCCCTACCAAGCAGCAAATTGAAATAAATTCGAATCTCGTTCGGTTTTGATGGTTTGTGTTTGTTTTATATATATAAATTTTAAATTAATAAAATTTACTTGCTATATTTCTATTCTTTATAAGTTCATTTTTATATAAATAATAATTTTAAATCGCACATTCTTCTCATTAAATTTATATAATATTATGTTTCGTTTACGTTTTATGCAGTTTTTGTTTCGTTTGTTTATTTAATTTGAATTACACAACATTACTTTTATTTAGAATTATATCTTTATCTGTACTGTTATCGATCTCCTTCTGTATTATTATATGTATGTTAAAATGTGGTGTTTCTTACATATTATTGACACTGTATGTACTTCAAATTAGTGTGAGAATTGTTCTGTTTGCTTCTCCACCTTCGACTTGCTGTTATTTGTTCTTAGATGGTTTTTATGCTGGCTTTACATTGTATTTATATAATCCTTTTGTGGTTGCTGTGATCTCCGCTTGCTTGAACTAATTTCATTTAATAAACGTCTAGCACGGCTCGATGATTGTGTGTCTCAATGCTCGACGTGTGACACTTGCTTTAAATAATTTAAGAGTATTTAATAGAGGACTAAGTTAGTATACGCTCTGTAGGTTTTGGCCAAGTAAATTATATATTTATAAAACAAAATCAAATTCAATGCGTTTCATTTTTTCCTTCTCTTCCTGCCTCCTGCGTGTGTGTGTGTGTATGGGTTGATAGTCATGTGTCTTATGCGGGTGAGTGTGTGGGATGTGTTAATGATGGTAAATAAATACAACATAATACAAATAAGAGAGAGGATTTCCATGTTGTAACGAACAATATAAACAATTTTAAACGCTGCCAAAGTCTCTGGTTGCGCGTTTTTTAAATTTGTTTCAATTTACAATAATGGTAAACTAAACAATAATAATACAAATATAATGTTAAAATGTATGAAAAAACCTGCTAAATGCGATTAAGTTGTTGTTGTTGCATGCACGAATTATACACAAAAACTTGGCGGAACAGACTTAATTAAAATTAATTATTAATTTAACCAAAACAACAAAAAATGCAATCATATTGTTTTCTTTTATTATAATATGCATATAACTAGAAACATTTCAATTGTCGGCGGTGAAGGGCGCTTTAAAAGCGCCATTTCGCCGCCAGGTTCTTCTCTTTTTTTGTTTTTGTTTTCTCTTTTAGATTTTCCTTTTGAAAAACTACGCTAGTTGCCCGGATTAGAGTTAACGCTTTAGTTTACATATTCAGTATTTGTTTCCTTCGATTCGTTCGTTTGCTTGTTATTTTTTAATTTGAATTTGTTTTATACATAAATATATAATTCAGTTTTGATTGTTATTGAAGCTTTCGATTCGCTTCAATTGAAATTATATAAGCCTAGGCATGATTTTTCTCTTTTATTTCTTTGCTTTTTTTTTGTTTTGTGTATAATTCGAACGGCGTGTGTGTATGTGTGTGGGTGTGTGTGTGTGTTAGTATATGCTTTTACAAATGTTACATATTTCATGTATAATAATTTTTCACTTCTCTTCTCCTTAGTTACTCTTAAATAGTTTCTCAAACAATTTGTTAGTGGCTGCTGATGTTACTGACTGTTTGGATGCTGTTTCTCTTGTTCTTGTTGTTGGGTGTGGTTTTGTTGTTATGTAATGTGGCGGCGATATTCAACATGTCGTTAACATGAATATTTATTGACCTGTGCATCCGCTTCACGTACAACATTGGTTTCTCCGTTGTTCTCCTTCTCCCGTTCCATTCATGTTAGTTGCTTAGGACGTGCCATTGACCAGGCCCTCTTTCTTCACGTTCTCCGTCAGCTGCTGCTGGCCAGGCTGCTGGTCCGTGTGGTTATTGGTGCGATTCTTATTGTTGCGTCGCGGTTTCGGCTGCTGCTGTGGCGCCTGCTGCTGCTGCTGCTGGGCCTGTGCCTGCGGTGGTTGCTGCTGCTGCTGCTGTGCCGCCTGCTGTTGCTGGACGCCCGTTCCCGCGCCCGCTCCCGCCTGCTGCTTATCCCCGTTGCGCGATAGATCCTTCGACTTGCTCGCACCACCAGCGGCGTTCGCATTGCCGCTGTTCTGTTTGCTGCCATCTCCGGCATTTAGCGCCCCTTTGTTAGCAGGCGCCGGCGGCTGCTGCTGCTGTTGTTGTTGTGGTTGCTGCTGCGACTGGGGTTTGTTGTTGTTGTTGTTTGCCACCGCTCCATTTGCTATCAAATCGCAGGTAAGATGTAAAAAATCAGCTAAGCCTGAAGTGATTTTTCTGTTGTTTACTTACTGTTACTGGGCCCATTGTTGTTCTTCTGCCTTCTGCGCCTCCGCGAGCTGCCCTCGTACGATGAGTTGCTGTCCGCTAAAGAGATGGGAATATAATATGTATGTATATAGTAGGTGTACTAGCAGTATCCACTAAAAATTAGGCAAAAATACATCAAAGTTTTAAAGCCAAACCCCTCTCACAGCTAGAAATGATCAATTACAAATATTTCCTGGCCTAAATTTGCTTTAAAAAGTTGTAAATTTTTAATAAAATAATACTTTTAAATAAAATATCTTTGAAATATAATAAATACTGCAGATAATAAAGCAATCGATCATTGACAGAAATATAAACTAAAACCAATACTACTCTTTTTTTTTATCCTCTCAGAAAAGTCTTCTAAAAGTTAAAAATCTTCTTCCTTTCCCCTCCTCAAGTAACCAATTCCTGTAACGCTGGTGAAAAACGCACTCGATAAAGTAAACCAAAATACTAATGTGACTTTATTAAATTTATTTGAAATAGAAGAAACCTAAACATATTCGAGAATTAATGATACGTTTTTAGAGCTAACAAACTTGCTGTACATATAGATTCTTGGGTGCTTCTTGTCCCCATGAAGTCCAATTACGGGCGGAATCGGGGGGGAATTCAGAATATTCACTTTGTATCTTGTTTGTGCGCGCAAAATAAATTGGTTCAGCTAATTGGTTAATTGGCAGCATTATTCACGGGACTCACCTCGCTCCACACTGCTCACTTCGCGCGTCTCTCGCGCCTCCTCGGTGTGGTTGTGGTGCTGGTAATCCCTGCCGCCATTCTGCTGTTCGTTGCGTGGCGGCCGGCGGTTCACTCCGCCGCGCCTGTTGTTGCCGGGTCCGCCAGCACCGCCACCCACACCACCGCCGCCGCCGCCGCGGTAGTTTCCAGTGTTGTGGTCGCCGCCACCGCTGCCGCGATCATTGTAGCCACGCTGTTGCTGGTCGCGCTGATGATCGCCCCGGGAGTTGTAGTCATCCTCGTCGCGACGATTGTTGTGATAGCGCTGGTTGAGACCGTTACCGCCACCAGGACCGCCGCCACCGCGTCCACGCCCACGGCCACGCTGCCCACCGCCGCCGCCGCGCATGGAGCGCACGGACTCAATGTCGCTGCTGTAGCCGCGTTCAGAGCGCCGCGTCACGGGGAAGGTCTGTGTGGACCCCATCGAGGATTCCTGGATGGCGCGCAGCTGCTGGTCGATCTCCAGTTTCTCCTGGCGCAGCTGTTCCACTTCCTACAGAAATACAGATAAGAATTCGTTGGAAATCGGGCGTTTTGATGGGACTAATCTGAAGAATAACTAACCTTGAGGTGCGACAGATGATACTCCAACAGCACTTTGGCATTCGCAATGCTCTCCACGGTGCCAATGAACACAAAGGGTACATGCGCCAGCTCGCGTGGTATATTCTGATCCTGCTCGTCGTCGCCAGCGATCTGCCCGGAAAAGATTAGGACTGGCCCGCGTATAGAGCACAATACTCACAGCACTCACCTTGATTCGAAACACTCCGCTCTTGTCCACAATCTCTTGGATGATCCGTCCATTCTTGCCAATCACCTTGCCCACCAGCTCCCTGGGTACCTGGAAGAACTCCTCTGCGTATTCGAGCATGGCACGGGCACGCTGCACAGACTCCTCGGTCTCGCCGCTGATCTTAAATGTGCAGGACTTCTCCTCCAGCTCGATGTTGGTGACGCCGACCAGCGTGCGTGCTGCCTGTATATTCGAGCCATGCGACCCAATGGCCAGGCCCATGAGATCCTCGCGCACACGGAACTCCTCAACGTAGTTTCTGTAATAAAAATTAAATGTTAATAATAAAAAATATATATAAAACAAGGAGGGAAGCTAACTACGGCAAGCCGAAGTTTGTATACCCTTCGGATCCGAATTTGAAGTCTATACATAACTAAGCCAAAAATGCATTTATTTTTATTAGGAATGCGGTTTTAAGTTAGTTTTAAATATATACATATAAAAATATATAATTTTTCATGATGTAGCGTCTTAAAAAATGTTTAATAAAATTTGAAAAAATGTTTTCTTCTTTTAAACGTGGCTAGAAAGATTCTCATTTTTATGCTGATCAAGAATGTATATGATTTATAGGGTATCAAAAACTCATTCACTAAATAAAAGAATAATACTCCACAAGAAAAACATAAATATTTAAAATTTTTAAATCTATATTATGTAAAAAAAATGTAAATTACTTAAAAAAAAAAAAAAATTGTTAAAATTTTAAGAAATCATAATGTTTGTGGATTTTGGAAAACTACAATATATTTTAATATACAAATTTCTTTAAAAATATTAAAAAAAATAATAATTAAAAAATTTGTTTCCTATTCCGAACATCCTTAGAAAGATTCCAATTTTAATGTCGATCAAGAATATCACTAAATAAATTTCACTAAAATAAAATAAAATACTCAAGAAGACGAGAAATAACTTCTGACTAAAATTATAAAATCCCCTAAGGGTTTTTTGTTTAAGCTCCACTTTAAACTTACCCACGGCTCATCAGTTTAGTCGTTTCCAGCTGACGAGCAGCTTCTTCAGTCCTTTTCAACAGCATAACCTGAGAACAAATCAGATTTTATTCAGCTAATAACCGCAAAAGGACTTTGGTAGCAGCTAACCTTCTGTGAGAGATTACGAAAATGCATATCCTTGAGCATGCTGGCACGCTTCTGAGTGTGCTCCCACTTGGAGATGACGATCAGGGCGTCCAGGTCGCGACTGTAATTGCAGACGCCGGCATCGATTCTGCGCTGAAACTCCTTGTGTATGCCATCCTTCTGGGCTCTAAATTATATACGTAAGAATTGCAATTTAATAAAGTTTCTGTCATGGACTTACTCTTCGCGCAACTCCTCGGGAACGGGCAGCGTGAACTGATAGAAGGACTTGGCTGTAATTGGCGGATTAGAGTTCTTGGCGCGCAGTCGGCCCAGTTCGCAGATTTCGGTGTAGGGCGTCTCGAAACCAATGTAGGCCACCGCACAAATGTCCGCTTTGAGCATTTTGATGATGGCCACCCACCAGCCGCACGTTTCGCGCTCATTTGTGCGCGTAAACACCTCCACCTCCATGCCCTCCTCGAAGATCGGTGCGGTCACCTCAACGGCTTCCTCGGGTGGCAGGCGGACGTTACCAAATGGATATTTCATCACCTCGGGCACGCTGCAACAACAATGCGTGAGCGGAGAAAGAAGATTCAATTAATTAATTAAGGTGCATTTGTTAAGATAGTTCGCGGACAGGTGTTTCCCAGCGCCGGCAGAGACTGTGGCAGAGCCAGCGACTGCGACTGCAACTGCTCTGCTGGCCGAGGGCCAAGAGACGCAGCAACAAATAACAAAAACAACAACCATTGTGGGGGTGCCACCAGCAAGAGAGATTCTGATTCCCAGTGGCAATCCCATTCCCATTCCCATCCCGAGTCCCGACCACGAGACACAAATCGGAAATGCCACACAGCCAGCAGCAACAGTCGTGCCGGCAGGATAGTGGCGCAAACTAAATTTAGATCCAGCTGCTCTCAGCTCAAGTGGATCTCGTGTGAGAGATGGAAGACAAAACAACAAAAATTAAATTAAAAAAGGCGGCCAACTTTCGTTCCAAAAATGTCACAAGAACTGCAAGCATAAAATAAAAATAAGAAAACTAAAAAAGAATAGGTATAAAAACGGGAACAATTAGTTTTGAATGATCGACTTTTTAATGCTCTTTAAATTAAGTTTAAATAAAAATGTTATTTCGTTTTTCTATAAAGGAATTCTTTAGCTACAAAGATCACAACTAATAATAGAAAATCATGCCTAAAATATGGACAACTACAGTCCAACTTGAAGTAGACCATAAGTCATAAGAAATCTGGTGGCAATAAAAATAAATCAAAGTTGTAGAAAGCAAATTCGGTGAGATATATGCATGTCAGTGTAAGAAATTCCAAGATATATATTTAAAAGATTTAATAAACAGAGAGGAAGTTCCTAAAGTCTCTACTTGTGGAGTACATTTAAATATTTAGGTTTCAAAATGATAGAAAATATCGTTTCTTTATCGATATTTTACGGGATGATCGATATATAAATCGACATTGTAATATAGCGATATACCTGTGTTTGATCGATATTCTAATCGATATGTTCGAAATATATCATCGATAAATAATTAACTATTTAATAAACAATTTCAAATATTTCTTGATAATATCAATATGAAGGTTATAAAGGTATAATACGATATTTTTTTAATATTCAAATTTTTAATACATTTAAATTACGATAGCTTCGATACATTATTGATCTTATTATATTGAGTGTTTCTGTGTTTCTCACAAAAAATGTTAAAAATTTAGAATCAGTCAGCTTGAGATACTCATTTTCAAAACCCTTACCCAAATGCATACCTTTTATCTATCCTAAAACACTGCAATAAAAATTAATTCCAAGCTAAAGTCCAAACAAGAAATTTTAATGATCATTAGGGCATCCATAAAATATCCATAAATAGATTTGATTGCGTTTCCCTGGCGTTACAAGCTGCCTGATCGCAGCGTCATAACCGAGTTTGAAATAAATAAATAAATATAAATGGTTTCTTTCCGCGATTAAAAATAGTCGCGCCTTTGACGATGGCCGCCGCCGCTGCTGCTTAGTGGCATTTGTCGTTCGCACTTGACAGCTTTGGCAGAGATGGAAGCCATCCCCTCCTCCCTCCTCCTTCTACAAGCTGCAGTGCAAAATGATGGCTTCTGTGGAAGTTGTGTGTTTTGTTTGTTTGTTTGTCAGTGGAGCGGACAAGAGTCTTGGATCGTGATGGTCAGTCAGTCCGACAGTCAGCAGTTTTTTTTTTGTTTGTGCCGCCAAGAAGGAACTGTAACACTAGCTGACAGCAGAAACTTTTATGTTAATTATTTTGTTTATGGATTTGAATGATGCTTAATAAATGAATTGAGTTAAAACTGTATAAAGTGAAACATTAACTGAAATTTTCACTTAAAACCCAAAAAATAGATGCAATATTTATCCATTAAAAGTATATTTTTCTTTCCCTCCTTAAATATTATAACCAAAGGACTGCGTTTTCAAGTGTAATTATTGCTTCTACAAACTGCAACGTTTAACAAGTTGCGCCAAATTAAACACTTAAGATAGAGGAAGGGAGGCAAGACCGGAGGAAACGGCGGATGGGTGGACGATAGACGGCATAAATGATGCGTGCCCAGCATCTCTAATTTCTAATTTCGATGCCAAGAAGACGACGCTTTTCTCGGTGGTTGCGGCTGCCGCTCCTCCGATTGTACTAATGGTTGCAAATTAGTTAGAAAATACGTTTTACAAGTTTTTGGTTGTTGTTGCTGGTTTGTTGTCCTGTTCGCAGATTTGTTTGTTGAAACCGAAAAAAAAAATAAATAGAAAAACTAAAACTTACCCGTCCACATCCACAAAGATGCCATCATCGCCGACAGCTGTCACCTGGCCCTGTTGTTGTTGTAGTAGTTTTTCATTTTTCAGTTGCAGATGTTGTTGTAGTTGTTGTAGTTGTTGTAGGACGAGTCCATTGGCAGGGCGAGCCAGAGGTATACAGAGGAAGGGAGAGATAGAGCAGAAAAAATGTGTGTCATTAAAGTGGCTTTGCTGTCTTTGATATTCCTCATCTATCTGTCTCGGTATTATTTTCTATATGCATTTATTTTAAATTATACTTTTACGATCGCCCCTAAGCGACTGACATAAAAACGTTCCTATATCTCTGATAAGAGCGAGTGTGGAACCGTATCCGCAATGCAAACAGCAGAGAACGAGTGTGCTGCTGAATCATCATTCTGATGAGGGAAGTCTCTCTCTCTCTCTGGCGAGCGAGTGTTTACACTGGATTTGTTTACGAGCGCTGTAATCAAAGGCCGAGGTATGCTGAATATTCAGCACTAACTTATCAGTTTTCCAGAGTTTTCCACGAAACAAGGACCACGTAGATCAATCAATAAGGTATAGAATGATTAATGCAGTGTGGAGTATTAAAAATTGAGTATATAAAAAGCTATTAAATCAATAAATTAATGCTTTCTGATAAGATTTAAAAAAATATACAATACGATTTTTATGATCCAAATTCTTAAATAAAAAAAAAACAATATCAAAATACAATTGGTTATAAGAATGCATATATATCTCTCAACGACGTAAAAGAAATGGAATTATAGAGTTACAAATCTAATTTATATTTAAGATGACTAATTTTTAAAAGACATGGAGAAAACTCCTTATAAATTAATATGATAAAATCGAAAAAGTAGTGTTAGTTTATCGTAAACTCGTTATCCTTTAGTCAAAAGGTGTTTATTTTAACTCTTGCGCTTCTGATTAAATCATAAAGACAAAAACTGCAACTAGATATAATTTAAAACCCCTTTAAAAAGGCTTTACGTTACCATAATCTTTAATTATTTTTGTATTTTTTGTTTATTGAAGGAAACAAAACATAAACGTACACATAAGACCTAGAGTAAAGTCAAATGCTAACCTAATTTAAACCCCATACAAGCCTAGTTCTTTAATAGCAAATAGTGCAGCAATTTAACTAAACATTTATATTTTGCAACAAAATAAGGAATAAAACATCCAGCAGATATAAATCAGATAGCAAAGGAAAGCTAGGACATAACTACAAGTTAACCTCATTTCCCTTGTAACTAAATGGCTTATTTTCCCTTTAATCCAAAATTATAGTGTCACATAATTTTTATCGCGAATTTGGATGATTTAATCGTCTTATCTCTTTGTCGAATTAGATAGTTGTTTAAAAAGGGAAATCACCAAAACAACAAATCCGAATGACCGACGACGTCAGGCTCTGTCGCAGCCGGCAGCGACGCCGACACCCCCACAACGCGGGCAGAGACGTCGCGTCGCGTCGCGCTGCGTTGCTTCGCGCCGTGCCGCGCAGTGTGCGTGCCTGCGTTGGTGGTAGTGCATTGGTATCGGTGTTGGTGTTAGTGTTAGTGATGGTGGTGGTGAATGATGTCGAGACTCCACTCAAAATGTTGCGGTTATTTATAGAAATAAAGCTAAAATCCACGAAATTAGAAACTGAGGCAGCTGCCGCCCCAACTCCCCTTCGCTTCCGTCTATGGCTTCTAATTCTTCTATTTTATGTTATTCCAGCTTACCTTGTAGTAGGCGCCATTCTCGAGCCGAACTTCCACGAGAAGATCTTCCATGTTGTTCGACGTTGTTGTTGTTGTTATTGTTGTTGCTACTGTTGTCCCTGCTCTATCCGCTTTGTTTTGGTGGTTCTTCGCCGTCCGTCCCTCCGAACCCTTCAGCTCCCAACTTTTCCCCGTCGAATGCAGTTTGCCTTCTTTGCTGTTGTATTCCCTCGCTCGGTTCCTGGAAGACAACAGTTATACAGGCTGGCTGGCTATCGGAGATATCCTTGTGATTTACCCACAATTCAGTGCAGTGGCAGAATCCTGAGGTTCCTGCTGTAAATTCCTTGCTGCTACGTTGTAATCAGTCTTTTGCTTGCCGCTGCTTCTTCCTCTTTTGCTGCTGCTGGTGTTGCTTTTCTGCTAGATGTTGCCTGCGAATCGAAATGCAAAGTGATAAACAAAACACACACGCACACTCGCACGGGGTAGAAGTATTTTCCCAATACTACTTTTCCCCCCCGAATATATTTTGACATACGGGGGAGCAGCGGGCCCAATGGCAATCAAAAAATTTTGAAGTTATTTTGGGGGCAAGAAATTCCTGGCTAAACAAAATGCAGCAACTGCGGCGCTGACGGGGGCAGCGGCCGCGACAGCGGCAGAGCAGCGCTTTAGCCGGCAGCGCTGCGGCCTAGTGCTTCCTCTTCTTCTTTGTCTTTCTTTTGTGTGTGTCCTCCACACACCACCTTAAAAAAAGCGTGTGCGCGCTCTCTCGCTCTCTCTCACACACGCACACACAGCAGCCGCCGCCGCCGCCGAAATGTTTCGCTCGTTCGTTCACACCGATGAGCACGCTTTTCCAATAAGAATTTCACGCACGCACACCAGTTCACGGCACATGCCGAATTTACATATCGAATTTACACATCATTTCCACACTTTCCACCTCTATTCTTCGAAAATCCATTTAAACGGGCACCCACCGATTCTTTTTCTCATTATTTCTCATTTTTCATCTTTCAGCTGCTCCCTTTTGCTGCTGCGCCGCCACGGCCGCTGCCGCAGAGAAGCAGCGCCGCTGCCGCCAACGTCGCCGCCGCCGACGATGTGCAAAATTTTTTCGTTTTTTTCGGTTCTTGCAAAATTTTCAATTCGGTTCGCGCGGCTGTAATACGCAAATGGCTGCAAAGATTTATTAACTTACGGCTTGCCGGCACTTTTGTCCCTCGTCTGCGGTCGGCGGATGCCTTTAAGTGTGGCTATAACCTTTGAAAATAAAAAATATATCGCGTGCTGCTTTAATTTTTTTTCGGCTGCGCTGCGTTCTCTTCGTTTTCAGTGTGGCCAAGCGTAGGCCATCAAAACATACCATCAAGCTTCCAGAAATATACCAACAAATGGGTTTTCAAGAAAATCCGCAAAAGGAAAGTGGAAAGTAGAGGCGGAAAACTCAATTTTCTTAAGAAATTCTTCGTTAGGATAGGAGTAGAAAATAATTTTCATAGAAAAAACTGCAAATATAAAGATGAGACGGGAAAATAAAGACTGTTTCCTATACTTTGTAAGACAGTCTGGCAGCGCCAATAAGCCGCGAACCCGGGGAAAATCGAGTAAGTATTTAAAAACCTCTTCAACAGCTGAAGTATCAAAGAAATGGATTCTAATATTGAATAACATTGACGAAATACCTATTGCTTGTAATGGTTTTCGGCTATGCAGCCGTTCAAATTGCTCTTTCACCCTTTTGCAGCTCGGCGACGTTTTGCCAGTGATGCCACTTGAATGCAATTGTTGCGCGTAAAACGGTAGCTTCGGCAGACTTTGACCGAGAAATGGAATAAATTTATAGAAATGAAACACAAATTTTATAACAAATCAAATAACGCAACGACTGCCAGACAAATTTTAACGAAATAAAAATGAGACAGTTGGGAAAACAGCCTGGTAGCACTGCCAACTGTCATAGGTCGGGCGTTGCCAGAGTATGACAATTGCTGAGCTCCAAAATCTGTTACTTTTTGAATTTCTAAAAATTTGATAAGGGCAATTATATTAATGAATTTGAATGGCTTGTCCTGATTGAATGCTCATATTGCTGCCGCCGCCTGACAATTTAATTGAATTGCTTGCTTCCAATCACATGTTTGCTTCTTCAATTGATTCGATTGGATTTTAATTTGCAGAATTGCAGTCACACCGCGGCCCGACACCGATGCCCGTTAACCCCGTCGCCTAATGTAATTGTGTCTCTGTGTAATTGCAGCGCCTTTATTGGGGTCACCAGTGCGCGCAATATGTCACATGTGCGGTGTTTTATTTGCCATTTCTTCCAGCTTGATTGCCATCGGGAAAATCGCGTGACGTTTGCCGAGCGCCTTTTGTCAACACGCTAGTCGAATTTGCTTTTCTTTATTTTGCCATTCATGAAATGCATTCATTCGCCCACACATTCTCACGGCGGCCACATTGATTTCGGCTAGCTGATAAAGCGATAAAAGGTGCAGGCGCATTCTATTTTTAACCTCATTATTTTAATTTGATGTCATTAGTTTTTAAGGATATTTGGTACACTGAGGAGGAAACAAGCCTTTTTCTAACCATAACTATTTATTTCTTTATTTCTTAAAAAAATTTTTTTCTTATAGATTTTATATAATTTTGTACAAAAGTTTAAATATGTTTTATTACATAACCAATTTAAAATGATAGAGGGCCTTTTAAGGTATTTTTTTAACACGCTATTTTGTTATTTGCTCAGCGAAAATATGGCAACAAATTGCAACAATGTCATGGCTAAATGGTAGCCATTAAGTCCTTTGTATTTGGCGGAAAACCACATGTTTCTGTAACCGCAACAACGCGTGAACTAGTGTTTTCCCAGGCATTTTCCATCAGATAAATGGACAACGACTCTATAAAAAAGTCGTAAACTGCCTGCTTGGCTACAGGGTATTAGCTAGAGATAGATTTGCCATTCGATAGTCACAAATCACCGCTCGTGTTGATGGTAATTGCCGTCAAGCGGCAATTTGTTGCGGAAATGCACTTTGATTTTCCCCGCGCACCGAAACTAACTTTCCCTGTATCCTTCTCCTTCTTTACACCCCTCTGCCTCGTTACCTGGGTGAAAACGAGAGCAGCTGCTGTTTGACATTGACTTTTGTTGCGCCTTTTGCCACATTAACTGCAATTTAATGACGTCGCAATGGAAAACAAAGGCCGAAGCATTTGCGACGACAGCCTCCCTGCTCTCACTCGCTCCCTCGAATTTGTCCCGCTCAATTAGCATTTATTTGTCTCTCGGCGAATTGCATTTCGCTTTTTGTGGGTGCAACAATTGGTCACTTTCGGGGCTGTAAAAAGTAAGTAAATTAATTTCGATCTAATTTTAACCGAGCGGCAGGCAGACAGGCGGCAGCGGACCGTGTGGCTCGGATCAAGTGAAATTTATTTGCCAAAATGTGACAATCTCGATCTTGATAAATACGTCACTTCCTGCGTGGCCCTCTCTCCTTGGTCCTCTCCTTCTCATGCACAATAAAAAAAAAACCATAGGGGTTGTATGGATTTTAAATTTAATTAAATTTAGTTAAATTGAATGGGATTTATTTAAAATTATTTATAACAGAAAAATATATACAGTAAATATTTATTTTATATTTTATTTATATTTTTAAAGAATATTCTAAGATAAATAATAAATAGAGTTTATGAAATTAAGAAGAGCCTTGTTTTTCTTTAAATATATTCAAGTTATGTTAGGGTTTAAAATTAAAAATAAAAAAATATCTACGTACGTGACATTTTTAAAAGATTTTTTTAGTTAGTGTTAAAAATTTGTTTTATTTTGCAAACAACATATTTTATACTTTTTTATTTATCATTTGTGAAATTTGGAAAAACTTCGTTGTTAATCATTTAATTTAAATTAAATATTATAGTTTCATTGAGAAAATCTGGTTTTCAGTGGTTAATATTAAAATTTACATTAATTAATTAAAGTCAAAAGAATCCTTTTTTCAAAATACAACTCTTTCTCTCAGTGTAGATTTGCATGTATGGGCGTGAGAGTCGTGTGCCGGCTGGCGTGCTCTCTCGCTCCCGCTCAGCTGCCAATTACCGTTCGTTTAGCATTTCGCTGCTCACTGCCTGCTTATCAATTAATCAGCTTCTAAGCCTCGACGCCGGCAGCGGCTCAGCAAGTGCAGTTTTCACCTTCGGCGAGTGCTCTTTCTTTTTTTTTTTTTTTGCGGTTAAATCTGCGCTGCATTTTGGATGCAAATCTCTGGCGGGCGAGAGCGGAAAACGGAAAAGCGAATACCCAAAAAGATAGATAGACGACAGCACATAAACCTGAGTGTAGTGTTGCCATAATTCGGTTCAATTGTGCCAGTGTGTGTGCGAGTGTGTGTGCGGTGCTCTGCGGGTGTGTGTGTCGGTGTGCCAGTACATCGGCCGATGCTCGCACCGCTTTTCAGTAATCATTCTGTGCCCTGACCGCTGCGTTCTCCGCCGCGGGTTCTCCGTTCCGTTCTTGGTTCCCCGAGGTTCCCCGAGGTTCCGTTATAAAAGACGCGTGCCGCGCTGCGAACCGATGGAGTTCAGTCCGAGACCGCAACGGTTCCGCGTCCTGCCAAGCAGCAGCAGCTTCTGAAAGCAAAAAATAATCGAGAAAATCAAATCTTAGGCAATAATAACTTCTAAAAAAAGTTTACAGTGCAACCGAGTGTTATAACTGCTAATAGTTTTTCTAAATATTAAAAAAACAAAGAAACAGACATCGTAAAAATGCATTTTATTACCTTCTCCTTAATAGGTAAATGTTTTTCAATTTTCATATCCAATTTCATATCCACCTGTGACTGTGACTCACTTACCTTGAACCCAAAAACCAATCAAAGAATCCAACTATTAGGTGTGAGTCACTAACTCCACAATATAAAATAACAAAATAAAGAAACTGACTCAAAATCGGAGGCACCATTAATTGGATTCTTGTACTTATCGCCACTTATCGGACTTATCGGGCTCATCCGCATAGCCGTATTTATTTCGAAAGTCACGTTTAGGGCTCGGATCCCACGCCAAATAGTTACACATTCATCCACATTCTAATTGTCGCCTCTGCTTACGTTTTTTGTAATTATTCAAGAGGGAATCTCGCTTTAATTGATAAGATGCCACAGACAATGTACTAATGATAATCCATACACTCTCTGGGATCGGAAATAACTTACAATGGGAGGATGGGTTCGGTTTCCCAGATCTCAGGGGTTGCGATGATTGCCATCGGAAGTGTGCGGATGTTTGGGCCTGAGTAATGTCCAGATAAATTTGGATCAGGGTTCCTATTTGCATATGCGGCACGAGTGTTTTTTCTACTTGTCAATTGGCTTCATCCTGTCGGAGAAAGAAAGCATTTTGAGGCTGAAAATCTGGTTCAAGTTCTGTAGAAACTGGGTATTTTATGTATTCTTGATAAAAGATCTTAGAAAAGCTCAATATTCTTTTTTTAAACAGATTTAGTATCAAAAATACATTTAAAGTACTTTAAAACCATGAAATTACAGTGTATTATGCAAGTAATAAATATTCCTTCAACAAGTAGCTAAGTAAACCCTATTCAAAATTTGTCTAAAATATTTATTTTAGTGGTATTTATTCTGCTAAAGCACCTTAGTAACATAAAACCTCAATGACAGTAGATTTATTACATAGTAAAGCCTTAAATCCTAGCTTATTTGGTAAGCTAAACACACAGATACTTTAGGAGCTATACAATATTTTAACGATACATCTTTACCTTTTAATTCAGCCCGATAGGTCATAAAACCCATAGTGTGCTCTTCATGTAACCATCATAAAATCAGGGGATTTTTGCAGGAAATAAAGGTATCTTCCATTTCTAATTAAGAAACCCCAGCGCATACGGTGATGGGTCTATCTAAAATCTAAGTCTGTGCCGTCACATCGGGTACTCCGAAGTGATTCCAGTAGAACTTTGGACATGGATCACGCGCCCCCGGACAGATATCTGCGGCAAAAGACAACCTATTGCCTTGTCGTTGTCTTGTTGACTTTGTGGGGGCATTTGGAAAATACCCACTTAATTCGTCCGAGATACAGATACAGATACAGTCAGTCGATCGACCGACCGACTCATCATCAGGCAGAGTGCGGGCAGGCAGAGTGATAAGGTCAGCAGAAGCTAAGTATCTGGTCACGCCGGGGAGTAGAATTTTTGGGCTGAAACCGGGAAAAGTGCTGACCTAATCAAGATCATAATCATAAGTAATTTATGGGGCTCAGATGGTGCTTGACAAATCACCGATTAGATCCCAAAACAGATTAGGGAACTTCCAAATAAGAGACGATGGCTGGAGGCATATTAAACGATTAACTGGCTATTAAGTACGCTACGTTTATGGCTCCTGTGCGAGATTCGATTAGGCTTCATCGGTTTAATGGCAAGGCGCCATTTGCCAGGCTTATCGCTTTTTGCCTATTTTTCAGGTAGTTAACACACAGATTAGCTGCGATTTCTGCCCCCCAGATATGATTGACGTGGGATTTTGCAGAAACCAACGGATTTAGTAGAGTTTTAAACACCTTAATTCTTTAAAGAGTTACTTTTTAAACTTTTCTTTAAGTGGGGTGAGTGGGGAGATATAATAATTATTTGTGTTTCATGATAAGACATACGTCTATATATGTATTGTTATTTTTTTTAGTTAAACGCCTGGCTTGTACAATTCAGTTATCAAAATTAGATTAACTGTCGTTAATATACCATTTTATATTGTCAGCTGTCAGCTATTTTTGTTTAAATATATTGCCAACACTTAGCACAATGGAAGTTACTAGGTTATTTTTTTTAGAAATGTGTCTAGTTTAAAGTATATTATATAGAATATTGATGGAGAGCAAGTATAGTATATATACAAGTTTTTACAGTAGCCAGTAGTATAAATTTACAATATTGTAATGGATTTTACAACAGTTTTTTTGGTTGTAAACATTTATAACGCTTTGGCTTCTGCTTGAAACGGGGTTCCATTTGATTACACTCTTACAGATAGCATATATACAAGCCATGGGTGGACAGTACACACCTCTTTTTGCAGTCTTTATTCACCAGCACTGAATCCAGTGGAGCGTTGAGCTCCCCGTCTGGGTTGTATTTGCAGTTTAGCTCCACTTGTTGACCAGCGAAAGTGAAACTGCATATCGCACTTCCTATTTATATATTGCAGCGTGTGGCCTTTTGTTTACCAAGAGACCTTCTGCTATCTGTCAAGCCTCTTACTATCTCCTCCTTCTCTTGAGTTTGCTTTCAATGCTTTTATCAACATCCACTCAAAGTCCATAAAGTCGTTTAGCTAGTGATGGAAAGTTTTTAACCCACTGCTCTCCTTAATCGATTTGCAATGCAATCCCAGGCCCTAAAGCAATCCTACCAAGGGGATTTTATGGTGGCCATAATAGACAAACGTCAGAAATGTTGAGGCAATTAAGGAAAAACCAAAGTCTGTGCAGCTTTCCGTCTAATTATGCCAGCTAAGTGAATTATGTTTCACAGTCACCAGGCAGCAGATTAGATAAATTCCTTGAAAGAAGAACTAATCATAGATTAGCAAGGGGTTTTATTAATTCATTTTACAAATATTCAAATATTACATTTTTGCAAAACATTCTTTGGTTCCTGTTCCAAAAATAATCGAATGTTTCTTGCAACTCAACTTTATATTTATGATTCATAATCGTTAAGTAATTAATATTTCCTTTGTATATTTTACCACCATTTACACTTTCAATTGATAATGCCAATGAACTCTCATTGTCCCCATTCCCATGACCTGGGGTGTGTTTATGGGACACCGCAGCTTATCAGAGGCTCTAACAAGCCCCCCAAAAAATAAAAATCTTGAGACAATTAAATGGTGCGCACTCCCGAAATCGTTTATCGGTGGGAGATATCTTTGATTATTGCGCTCAGTAAAATGTAAATAAAGTTTGCAGACTGGAAAATCACTGAGTGTTTTAAAAGTCTGAAAGAACGATAGGGGGATCTCAATACCAGCAGTGATTTGGCGAAAAACCAAACGACATCGTTGTCGTCGTCGTCGTCGCCGGGTCTTTATCGCCACTGCTGAGGCAGCGAAATAATTCTGATTCTATTCTGCTGACATGGCCAAAATGATTTAAAGCGAAATAAGTCTGGCCAATGCCAGAAATTCACTTTAACAAGTGGAACATCGCTAACATACAATGCAGAAAATTCCATTTAAAATGCAAAAATAATCACTTTGACGGCAGTCAAGTGCATTTTGCATCTGCTTATTTTGCGTGATTTTTCACATGATTATCTCTCTAAAGCCAATTACCAGTTTTGTAAACTTTTACACCCCAGAGGGGTTCCCTTTAAATTACAGAATTCATTCCGTCATTATCAGCTATCAAAGCTTTGGGCCATCAAATTTAATTGTCCCGGACTTTGCATGTGTAAACTTAATTGTACTTTAAATTGTTGCTCGACATTTGTTGCATGTTTCCGCTATTGCAAAATATATACATATATTCTAAGGGAGAAGGAGATCGTATTTCGATGGTCTCTGACGGAAACTTCATAATCTAATCAGTTTTAAGTAAATCGCAGAAGCACTCACGATCTTGCGATCGTTTCTTAATTAAAAAGCAGCCCAAGTGTGCCAAGATTTCCTGAAAATTTTGAAAAAGAACTTAGTACTAAGTGTACTAAAGAATAAATTGAAACATCAAGTTCAATCAACTAATGCCATAACTCAGAGGCTGTTCGCTCCAAATCTGTTACGTCACAGGGAGGCAGCAAAAGATTATAAATAGGAGCACACGTTCCCCCGGCAAAAAAACCCATATATTAGATATTGCTTATATAGTATTTCTACTTATATTTAGTACACCAGCTGTTGTCGTCATTTGTCTCTTGCAAAAATGCCAAAACGAAAGCATAAATAAATTCCAAAGATTAGGGGGGCAAGCATAAATAATGACACTTGTTTGCGGATTTTTTTATTAACCCATTAATGTTGCAAAATGGCTTAATAAACACCCGATCTAGTGGCTAGTGGCGAGTTATGCCGATGGTTCAGTGTTTTTTAAATACCAAAATGGATCGTAAAAATCTGCTGAGCAAAAAGCAGCAGGCATAAAATTTAAATTTAGTTGATATTTTGATGTGCAGATGTCAAAAGGCTTTTAGCCAAGTTGTCTGAGGTAGAGGGTGTGCAGGGGGGAGAGAAAGTTCATTTAAATAAAATCAGACCAATTTCTTTGCGGGTTAATGAAACATTTATACGCACTGATATGTACAGTACATATATCTGAGTGGAAATCATAAATTTCAGGGTTATTTTTAGCCAAGTCAAGTGCAAGGTGCTGGCGACTGTTGTTGACGCTGCCAAAAAATTTGTGTAGATTGACCCTCTGTCAGGTCCCCCCTTCCGCTACACAATTTTATGGCCCCGCCATCAACTGCAGTTTTTAGTGTGTAATGTGTGTGTGTGTGTGTGTCTGTCCCTGAGTTTGCAATTCTGTGTCAAGTTGAAGTTTACACACGTTTTATATTTATATTTAAATCACCAACCCATTAAACTGTCCCACGCGGCGTATACTTGATACTTATCTGCCACCATTTTCAGCCTGCTGCTCCCTGGCGCTCGGCTGGGCCAACGAGTGGGGCTACCCGGACTTGGACAACAACCAGGATGAACGTAAGTAGAGCCAATTCGAGTTTATTTGCTAAAATTAGTTAATCAACGCCTCTATTGTCACCGGGAGTGGGTCATGTCGGACTCGGATATAACCATCCATCCGTCCGTCCGTTGGTGAGCACGCTCCGGACTTGGGTCGGACACAGGGCAGCTTAGCTAAATTGGTTCAAATTGTTGTGTATGCAAATTGAACTTGAATAATGATAAATTTGGACAGTTGAAATTCCGCGAAAAGAGCGAACTTCGGCATAGAGTTGTTAATTGAGCACCAAAATTGCCATCAATTAAGTATAAAGTTTGATTTATGATCGTTTAATTTCAAATAAACATTTTGCTTGTGCAGAAACTAGGAATTATTAACAATTAATTAAAGGGGAGGAATAGAAATTTGACATTTTTTCTATGTAATTTTAATGGAAATTTCGAATAAATTAAATTATATGTCTTATGATGTTAATAATAAATGTAAAGAAAAGATAAAATAGAGAATATACAAAATTATATTTATAAATTTAAAAAAAACGTTTGATTTATGACCGTTTAATTTCAAATAAAAAATATCTGTCAAAATAACATTTTTTCAGAATATCAATCTTAAAACAATTGTGATTGATGGGCATTAAATTAGAATTAAAAACAGACCAACAAACGGAAATTAATTGAACCATAAAGTGTGAAAATAAACCTAAAAATTCATACATTGCTGGCTTATTTTTGACTTTGTTTAATAGTTGATATTTTTTATTCTTCAGCTTTTCCCAAATGGGGCGGTCTTTGCGATAGTGGCAAGAAGCAAAGCCCCATTAATCTGCATGTCAAGGGGTCTCTGAAGGGTGAATTTGATCCCCTGAAGTTCGCGAACTACGATGAACACCAGAAAAATCTGAAAATGGTCAACAACGGGCACTCAAGTGAGTTTCCTAAATATGCCACAAAAATCCAACTTTATCCCTAAAATAATTGATTTATTCTCTTGTCCAGTTCAACTGTCTGGCTTCGATCACGAGCTGACCCTGAGTGGCGGCGCCCTGCTGCATGACTATGTGGTGGAACAGATCCACATGCACTGGTGGTCGGAGCACACCATCAACGACATCCGCTATCCGCTGGAGGTGCACATTGTCCATAGGAACACCATCTACCCGAATATGACGATGGCTGCCAACTTCAAGGATGGTATCGTGGTGATTGGAGTGCTCTACCACGTGTCCAACACAAGAAACGAGGCCATTGGCAGCATCATCAAGAGTTTGGGAGCGGTGAAGGCGTACGACAGCATGAACAAGCCCACTCTGGTGGCGGATTCCCTGGCTGTGGATGATCTGGTGCCCAGTGTGGAGAGCTACTTCACCTACGCCGGCTCCTTGACCACACCCACCTGCGCCGAGGCTGTCACCTGGATTGTGCTGACTGAGACATTCCCGGTGACCCTGGATCAGGTGAATGAATTCAAGGAGATCGAGTACGAGGAGGGCAAGCAGCTGCACAACAATTACCGGGAGCTGCAGAGCGAGAATAACCGGGCGGTGGTGCTGGTCGAAATGCCCGAAGACCGATCAGGAGCTGCTGGACTCACGGCGTCCGTCTCCTTGATCCTGACGCTCGTTCTGGTGGGTGGCCAGAAGTTCCTGCTGTAGATTCAGCTAGGAAGTCGATAAGAGAGAGCAGCCAATGACATAAACTCGTACCAAAGAATTGTTAAATACAACGAATTTGTTAACAAAAGATAAAAGGAATCAAACAGGAGCCTTACAGGAGACAATTTATACTCATTAATTGTAATTCAGAACAGAACAAGAATCCAGCTAGTCAGTTTGTGTGAAGTTCATTAAGTGCAAAGTTCACAGAATAATAAATGAATCATTTTACAAGCCCTCGCTCGTATCTTTAGTAATATAACTCCACGGGGCGTATGCGTAACATGAAAGTGACCGCTTTGCGTCGAAAGTTCACCTCAACTACAGGTGGGTATTGGTATCGTATGCCAAAAATAGCCGATGAACCATTGTTCTTCTGCATATTTGATCACAAGACCCCAAATAGCACTCTTTATTGCCCTTGTTGGTCAGTGTGATTCCTCGAATAAAAGAATTTATAGCCGAATAGTATTTAGAAATCACTGATAACTGCCAGCGTCAACTGGCCAATTGCTCTGCTGATAGCGCTAATTGATATTGGGTGGACCCTAAATAAATCAACCGGACCCTGCAATTTGATTTCGCTTATTACCGCCGGCCACACACTTAATCATCATTGTTCATTGTGAAATGACACTCAATCCCAACGGCGATTGCAGCGCGTGTCCGCTGGTTTATTGATGGGACAGCAAAGTCAACTAATTAGTAGAATTATCTTATCTAAGGAAAAGACAAATAGTTGTTAAATACACAAAGGGCAAGGTTAAGGAAAGAAAATTCTTTAAGAATAATAAATATTGCTCTTTTTTTTTCCTGTTACCTACGGTTACTTTAGCAACTTATGCTTCAAAGTAATCCTAATTTATTGTTTTGAATACATTACAAATTATATATGTAGATCGCTTAGGTAAGTGAGTAGATAGATCCTTTGCAGTTTTGTAAGCAAAAACATGGCTTCAATCTTGACATTTTTCTAGTACAAATTCATCAATTGCTGAGAGAGAAAACGGCAGAGTGTAAATACATTTTATTTACTTTTTTGTTAATCTTTGTTATTATGTAAAGCGAATTGTGTTTCAAAAATTTGACAAAAATTCGCCACAACATATACATACTGTTAATCTTAATGTTAAATTACATATCGGTAAATCAGTGTGACCCCCTGCCAGCCCACTGTCCATTTTTTTTTCAGAAAATCGTAGAAGCCCTTGAGTTTTATTTCAAACTAAATCGTATAAAAGCAAGCTGCTCAGAGCCAGATTGGCAGTGTGTTTCTTGATTTCATTGGATTAGGATATTCTCGTATTTTTTCATTTAAATCTATTTTTATTTATGTATTTATTTTTTAAAATTTGTTTTTTATTTTATTTCCCCAGTGCAAAGTAAAACATTTTGACCGTTGACGGTATCGGCAGGAACATGTAGATACATGTATCGTTTTTGATTTTTAGAAATAATAATTAATATTTTTTGTTTTTTTTTTCGTTTTCAAAAGCAATTTAATTTTAATATATGTGAGATGGGTTGTTACCCTCTTATGTTACGTTTTATTATAGTAGATTTCGAATATTATATTTGTTTTTAGAATTGGCAAGTTTTTCTATTATCTGCTTTTTTGCTTTCTTCAACTTTCGTTATTTTCTCCGCTTACAACTTTCCTGCTGAAAACCAAACAACTGAATGAATTATTCGTCTCCGTTCTTACTTTTGCTGCTATAAGGCTCTCAGCTTACTCCTCGGAGGTCTCGTTTTCTTGGTTTACACTTTATTAGATTTCTTAACTTTATTTTTGTTTTAAATTTTATTTTAATTTATTTAGATCCTATTATACTTTGATTTTAAGCACCGTTTTAAGCAGAAAAATCCACAAGTTGTCAAATATAATTATTTACGTTGGATGTACTCTGCTGCTGACTTTGCCTCGCCCCAATTTCACGATTTCATATAACCCCAGATACGAATAAAAATTCATACTTGGTTGTAGAATCAAAAAGTTTTTTTTTTTTTTTTTTTTAATTTATTTAATAAGGCATACGGAGTGCTATTTACCCCTTTGTGACCTTTATATCTATTCATTCTGCCCTAAATCGGGCGCGCCGGCTAACCTTATCGGTTAGCATTTTCACAATATTACAATAATAACAATAACATCACAGTACAATTATAAAAAGAAGTGATGACTTGCAAAACAAACCTGCCTTCTCCATCATATGACTGATGAGTTTCATAAACTCCCTGCAATTGGCCAATATCCCGACGCTTAAGAACAATATCGCGTGATTCTACATTCTCGCCAACAATCACCACTGCGACTTCATTGATAGTGGGAGCATTAAATTGTCTTGCATGGCTACCAGTGGGTCTTTTGTTCGTCATAATGCATTATATCTAATGCGGTTTTGAACAATCTGACCAATTCATGATGCTTTGTACATCTGTTGAGCCGCTAGCGACTTTTCCAGAAGGTTTTCCCAAAATGTTCTTATATAATAACCTTCTTCTGGCAATTACAAACAGCTGAAAAGAAATTTGAGCCAAATCGGCCCAGCCGATTTATATATATATATAGATAGACAGATATTTAAGTTTATAAAACAGCTGGAAGTCTACAATGTTTAGGAATTTTATTTATATGTATAATTTTTAGCTTTTCCGAAATGGGCGGTTTTTGGGATAAAGGCCGCATGCAAAGCCCTATTAATCTGAGTCCCTGTGAGTCTAAGAGTAGTAGCAGAGCTCACCTGGATTTATCTGACCACACCGGGCTGTGCCGAGTCCGTCACCTGGATCGTACCGATGAAGACACAGCGAGACTCACTGCTCCCGTTTTCTTGACTGACGTTTGTATTGGCGGACCAGAAGTATCTCCTGTAGCAGTTAAGATCAAAATTCATTTGTTTTTATACAAATCCACGGGGCGTATACGTAATACGAAGCTGACCATAGATAGTAGAACGTAGAAGTAAAAAAATATGAATTAGTTAATAATAAAAGTACAAATTTGAGACATACCTTACATTTTAAACCAAAGTCCATCTTAAAATCCAGCTAGATATCCTTAGACTGCAATGAATAATTTTATGTTGAGTTAAAATTTGTGCCTACTTTTAGGCATATTTACGTTTCCTGTGCTGACCATCAACGACAATATTAGTCTAGTTTTGGGGTATTTTGAATATGAAAGCATGTACAGCTGCGGCAAAAAAAATAGCACTATGACATATATTTTTCTTCATTGATTATTTGTTTTATAACTATTCATATATTTAACTTGTTTAAGGCTTTTATTTTTACTTTAGGCTCTAATTTATCGAAATACACTGCAAGTGTCGTCGATAATAACATGAAATTGAAATATTTACATTAAGAATGTGAACGTTGAACATTTTAGGCGGCAACAAAAATAGCACTATTTCAAAAATAACTTAAGAAAACGAAAAAAAACGAAAAAAATACTGGAAGTTCTGGAATATTTGTATTCATTTGTATTCCTTATCGATATAGTGTATTAATATTTCGTTGTAAAAGCTTTGGCAGCAATGACAGCAGCACAACGTCTCGGCATAGAATTGACCAAGTTTTGACACCTTTCCCGTGGAATACTGCTCCATGATTCTTGAATGGTGGCCCAGAGCTCCTGATTAATCCTTGGTTTTGCATTGGAAACATATTTTTTTACATCAGACCAAAGATTCTCTATCGGGTTTAAGTCTGGAGACTGAGCAGGCCAATCCATTAGGTGAAGGGATCTGTCTTGAAACCACTTAGGAGCTTTCTTGCTGGTATGTTTAGGGTCGTTATCCTGTTGGAAGACCCACAACAACGGTATTTCGTATTCTGCATAAGACAGCATCACTGTTAGCAAAATATCGCAATAGACATGTTGATCCATAATACCTTTTATCCAATGTATTGGACCCACTCCGTAATAAGAAAAGCATGCCCAAACCATGATACTCGTTCCACCGTGTTTTATGGTCTTGCAGGTGAAACTTGGGCGGTATTCCGAATTGGGGGGTCGCCGTACATAGGATCGAGATCCTCTTCCTCCAAATAGCACGATTTTGCTTTCATCCGACCATAGGATGTTTGGGCATGCTTTTCTTATTACGGAGTGGGTCCAATACATTGGATAAAAGGTATTATGGATCAACATGTCTATTGCGATATTTTGCTAACAGTGATGCTGTCTTATGCAGAATACGAAATACCGTTGTTGTGGGTCTTCCAACAGGATAACGACCCTAAACATACCAGCAAGAAAGCTCCTAAGTGGTTTCAAGACAGATCCCTTCACCTAATGGATTGGCCTGCTCAGTCTCCAGACTTAAACCCGATAGAGAATCTTTGGTCTGATGTAAAAAAAATATGTTTCCAATGCAAAACCAAGGATTAATCAGGAGCTCTGGGCCACCATTCAAGAATCATGGAGCAGTATTCCACGGGAAAGGTGTCAAAACTTGGTCAATTCTATGCCGAGACGTTGTGCTGCTGTCATTGCTGCCAAAGCTTTTACAACGAAATATTAATACACTATATCGATAAGGAATACAAATGAATACAAATATTCCAGAACTTCCCGTATTTTTTTTCGTTTTTTTTCGTTTTCTTAAGTTATTTTTGAAATAGTGCTATTTTTGTTGCCGCCTAAAATGTTCAACGTTCACATTCTTAATGTAAATATTTCAATTTCATGTTATTATCGACGACACTTGCAGTGTATTTCGATAAATTAGAGCCTAAAGTAAAAATAAAAGCCTTAAACAAGTTAAATATATGAATAGTTATAAAACAATTAATCAATAATGAAAAATATATGTCATGGTGCTATTTTTTTTGCCGCAACTGTAAATATTTAATCGTTAATTGTTATCTTTATGAATTAGTTAAAAGAATGTTTTTAATTGCTTCAATTATAATAAAGGTAGAAAGTAACATTAAACAAATGATCTTCAAGTTATTTTTGAATTTGTTTATTTTTGTGATTATTTTTTTATTATTTAGTATTTATGTTTTTAAAATATGTTAACACTTTAAATATTAAAAAAAATGGGTTTATGCAATCTCTTAACAGTTTGAATAACTTTAAAGAGGGTAAAATTAGTATATTGACGAGAAAGTGGGGACTGCTTGTCTTAAACGAAGTGTTTTTATGTGATCTGAAGATAGCTCTTAAAACTAATTAGGAATTTCAAAAGAAGATATACGCTATAAATTAAAGAATTTAAAAGTCTTCATGGTTTAAATTCGAATTATTAGGATTATATTTATAAAAAAATTATATACATACTGTATTGAAACCACACCACTTTAACCTACCTACCTATAGGTATACATGTATACATACTCTCTCCTTATAAAAAAACTAATAAAAAAAAATAAGCAAATCTGAAGCAATTTGTTATTTTTTATATTAAATGTGACAACCGTGTATCCGGATTGCCTTAATAAAAGTACTTAATCCCCTTTCTTAACTCATGTCTTCTTCTCGGAAACATTAATCAAAGCTTACAAGCTACCTCTTAACTTGATTCAACTTCCGATCCTAAATCATTTGTTAATATTTTGTGGTACGATCGATGTAAAAATAGTCAGCTTAAGACCCAATTCAATCCACCTGGTTATTAAAATAAACGTGCTTTTTCCGACGTGTTCTCCAATTAATTTTTGACTAATTTTTAGGCCAATAATTAAAAATGCATTTATTATGTTTGAAATGCTGGACAGGTTGGTAGGTTGATAGGCCTCGCAGCGGCATTTATCGCCCCATCAGCTTGGACACGGATTCGGTTTCGGAATGAACTCAGACTTAGCTCAGATTCAGTTCATAGAAGCAGACAATGGGCCAATGTCAAAATCTCTCATGGAAGATCTGCTGTTCTTACCAGCTAAAACTGAGGTCTACATATGGTATAAGGTGGGAATTTCTATAGCACCAACAGTCAACAAATTGTTTTAATAATAACGGCAACTCTACTGAATCAACCTGCATTACATAGTTTACCAATTAAGCAGCAATTTTAATAGTAATTATTTTAAATGCGAAAATAAAGGAACATTTTCTTAATCAATATTTGTTGATATGCGGGGCTTGTTGACCTTCGCCAGTAAAACACACGTTACCCACCGCAAAAGTTTCCCAAATGTGAAGCCAGCACTCAGAAAAAATGTAAAGGACATTAAATGCTTAAGAATATAAGGATTCAACTATTGGCACTGTTGTCACAAATTGCAATTGATGTATTACCAAGGTTAGGCATCCATTTTTCTTCTGTGTTCTGGCTTTCAATTGGATATATTATTGATAATAAAAACGTTGCGGTTTTGGCTCAACTCCCTGCCTATTTAAGCCTGAACCCTTTTAATTCGATTGCATAGTACAATTGAAAACAAACAATGGACATCACTTGGATTAAAAACAAGTTCCTTGGCCGACAAGTTGTTAAAGTTGAGGCCCTTAAAAACCAGTATGTCACTCTGGAGGATTTCCTAAGCGTGCCTGCGACCTTTTATCGTTGCTTGGGCATGGATCCCTTTGTATACAACAAGAACACCAGTATCGCCAAGCATTTGATGTTCACGCTCCAATTTGTTATGCTGACTTTAACGATAGTCATGATGCTGGAGCTTGCTTTGCTCAACGAAGACTTCTTCGAGTCCATGCAGGTCCTTGGCTTCGCAACTTGCGGTATCGCCGGAATCCTGAAGGCAATATCAGTGCAGATACAGAAGGATAAGATGATCCGTTTGGTGCGCCAGCTAAGGTCCTGCTTCCCGTCCTCGTCCAGCGAGGAGGAGCAAAAGCAGTACGAGGTTGAACTCTATCTCAGGCGATTCAATCGCTTCGCAAAGCCGTTTGGAGGCCTCTACCTGATCCTGACCTCCACCTTCGGCCTGATATCCATTGCGCAGTACGTCTTTCAGCGCTGGGTACTCCGTTCACCGAATCCCACACAATACTTGCCCTACGTTTCCCTGCTGCCATGGGAGTGGCGCGACAGCTGGAGGTACTATCCGACCTACTTGATGCAGTTAATCAATGGCTACACAGTAACCTGGAGCCACTTATCCAGCGACTCCATGATCTTTGCCGTGGTCATGCAAGCTGTCATGCATTTCGACAGACTGACCCGGGCTCTCAGGGACTTTAAGGTTCGCAACAATGGCACGGTGGGAAAGGCAGACGAGGACCTCAAGAACCTGGGAGCCCTGATCGCATACCACAGCCAAGTTCTCGGGTGAGTTTATTATTTAGTACTCAAAAGTCGAATTTGGAAAAGCCGATCCCTTGTAGACTCGTCGATGTTATGAACAAAATCTTTGGAATTCCGTTGCTGATCAACTTTCTGACCTCTTCGCTGCTCGTGTGCAACGTGGGTTTCCAACTAACCTTCGGCTTTAGCACAGAAAATTTTGGTCCGCAATTGATGTTCATAGCCACTGCTTTTGTGGAGATCTATCTAATCTGCTTCTTCAGTCAGATGTTGATCGATGCGGTATGCCAAATCTAGTATCTGTCCGGTTTCAGCTAATTTAACTAGATATTTCCAGAGTGGAAGTGTGAGCTTTGCAGCCTACGACATGCACTGGTTGGAGGCGGACTCTAGGTTCCGAAAAATGATAGTGCTCCTATGTATGCGGGCCCAGAAGCCCATTTGCCTTAAGGCCACCAATTTCTTGGACATATCCATTAGAACTATGAGCGGAGTAAGTTTATAGAAATTTTAAAAACTATTTTTTAGTATAAAACACATAATTTCTTTTCAGTTTCTTGAAATATCGTATAAATTCTTTTGTGCCATTCGAAGTATGTATCAATAAGTGGATTACATAAATGGTGTCAAATAGCTTATTATTCATATATGTATAATCATATTTTTTGGTGGACGTTTAACACTACTCACACTGTGAGTATAAAAAAGTTTAAAGCGCTTTCCTGAAAAGTGTCATTTTGAAAATCCTTAAAATCTACTGGAAAAATGGCTTTGAACTTTGGCACATCTTGACTCTTGAACTAATTCTACAAGTACTCACGTAGAGATTTTAAATGTATTATACCTTTAATTAAACAAAGCAACTAAATTTTGTAGTCAAATATTGTAAAGGTTCTGATATTGGACTCGGGAAATTACTTATAACGTCTAGATCACTTAATATTTTTCAATACAAATTAAAAAAAAAAACAAAGTGTTTAAATGTCGTGTTATTACCGTATATAGTATTTAATTCATTACGCCACAAATTGTTAAAGTTGCCCGTTTTGCACCGAATTAACCGATTTTTTTAAAAATAAACCTCAAAATCACTGCAACCTTGAATCGTGTGCCCTTTGAGAAGCTTACTGGTTAACTTTTTGAGAAAACGGCTGGCTGACTGAATAAGCGAGAGAATGATTGAGCAGTTGGTTGGTTGTGCATTTCAATAAAACATTCAATGCATAAGTGCAATGGGCATAAGCTATGCATCGCTGCTGAAAGACAGCGGGAGAAAGTGGGTGAGTTCACTTGAATTGCACTAATTTTCCTACAAGGATAACACTGTTGTTGAGACCGATGCGGAGATACGGATGCAGCCGATAGGGCATCCTCATTGATTGACTGAGTTAAACGAAACCCATCCGTAGGCAGCTGACCCGTGCAGGCGCCACCTCACGAGTTCCTGAATGCAGTGAAGCCTATAAACCGGCGAGGAAGGCCCTCAAGACGGTCATAAGAACGCAAAGTGGGATCATTTCCTGCAGCCTTGCCACGAGTCGGAGGACGACACCTGTACGCTCCGTACAGGATGGTTGTCAAAGGGCTGAAAGCCGGCAATATAGTTGCATCGGATCCGAAAGCCTTGAATGGCATCGTGCTCCGGTGACTATGGAGCCCAGCGCGGAGCGTCACCACAATGACGCCTGCGAAGTCTCGGAGCCGGAGGTGATCTGGATGGGTAAGAGCGTGCCCCCCAAGAAGGCGCTAGGGCCAGACGCTGTGCCCAAAAGGGCACTACAACTGAGGAAGTTCGCAACCCTGTACTCCAAGTGCCTGGAGGAAGGGACCTTTCCGGAGAGATGTAAGAGACAGAAGTTTGCCAAGCCGGGCAAGCCGCCGGGGGAGTCATCCTCCTTAGAGGCCCATCAGTTTAAAAGAACCAAAAACAAGTTGATTTTTAAAGTGTATACTTCAGAATTTTAAAAGAAGAAAAGAAGTCGAAAATCATCATGATTCTCAATGAGATCGAAGTAACAAATAAATAATTAAATATACATACATCAAATCAGCCGTGAAATTAATGTATTTAAAATCTTTTATGGAAGATTTTTTGTTTGACATTAGCATTTTTTGAAAATATTTCATTTTATTTCTACAACAAAATTTTCAGTGCATCTAATTTTATTCACAAATTTCGGAAAAATGCATTTTTGTACTTTCTTACTTATAGGTAAATGTTTATCAATAATATTATCAACAAAATTTGTAAAAGTCTGTCATTTTGTAAGAACTAGCTTAAATATATAAACAACAACAACTTCAGGATATTTGATATATATTTACAATACATTCTTTAAATATAGACATAAATCAAACTATTCAAACATGTAAATTATATTAAATTCTATGCTATTTAAATAAATTGTTCGACAAGAAATAAACAGTAATACCATCCATAAGGAAACTAGTTATACTATGTAAAATTTTATTCTCTTCTATTACTGTAGCTTGCTGTTTTTGGACTTTAAGCCGGGCTGCCCATTGGAGTTACCCGTCAGAAGAGAATTGTAAGTAATAAAAGTCGAATTTACTCTGTGAAATTAACAACTCTGTTGCTTTCGGTTTTGTCATAGTTGTCATAGGGGTAATTGGATATATCTGTACATTAATATGCCAATCAAAATAATTTATAGCCAACTTAACAGATTTCAATTAAATAGAATTTGATTATTATCTCATTGTTAACATTCCTTTTTAGAAAGTACATTATAAAAATATTTTTGTTAATACAACATCTGAAAGTGTCAAATTTTTAAGAATACCCATTTATAAAATTCATATATTTGCAGCTTTTCTGAAATGGGGCGGTCTGTGCGATAAGGGCAGCAGGCAAAGCCCCATTAATCTGTCTCTCAGGGAGGCTAGGAATGTTAGCGGCGGCCGTCTGCAACTAAGGAATTACTACGAGCCCCAGAGGACCCTAATAATGGTCAACAATGGGCATACAAGTGAGATTCTTAAAGTGTGAAACTTCCCTAAAATGAATGCATTATTTTCGTGTCCAGTTTCACTTTCTGGCTTTGACCAAGGGCTGACCCTTTCCGGTGGCTTCCTAAAGAACCCGTATGTGTTAGAGCAGCTCCACTTACACTGGGGTTCGGAGCACACTCTCAACGGCATTCGCTATCCGCTGGAAGGGCACTTTGTTCACCGAAACACCTTATACCCGAATTTAAAGACAGCTATGAACTATAAGGATGGAATCGCCGTGATTGGAGTGCTCTACCACGAGTCCTCCGAAAAAAATTATGCATTTGACTCAATTATCAGGAACCTGGGCGATGTGCAGCCCTATAAAATGTTAGACCAACCCGTACCGCTAGTGGGATCCTTATTGTTGGCTTTTCTAATACCCAGCATGTCGAACTACTATACCTACGCCGGCTCCCTGACCACACCGAGCTGTGCCGAGTCCGTCACCTGGATCGTGCCGACGGAGACATATCCGGTGAAGTTGGGTCAGGTGAATATGTTCAGGCAGATCGAATACGAGAAGGAAAAGAAGCTGAGCAACAACTACCGGGAGTTGCAGAGTAAGGGGGACCGAGATGTGCTCCTGGTCTCGAGGGCGTCCGGACCAGCGAGACTCACTGTTCCCGTTTTCTTGATCCTGCCGTTTGTTTTGGCGAATTGGAAATTTCGTAGCAGTTAAGATCAAAATTAATTTGATTCTATATAAGTCGTTAAACATAAAATAAATAAAACTACAAATTTGTAACAAGTGGACAAATTTGTAGTTTTATTTATTTTATTTTATACGACTTACGTTTTAAACTAAATTCCATTTAAAACCTATTTAAAATCCTCTCTAGGGACTTAATTGGAAAACTTTATATTTAAATTGTTGCCTACTTTTAGGCATATTTACTTTTCAATTGATGGCCGTCAACCACCATATTAGTCTAGTTTTAAGGTATTTGAAATATAAAAACGTAAATATTTAAGTATTACAATTTTATTAGGGAATAATATGGGAGTTAAAACTTTGAAATAAATGTGTTTATGCAATATTTTTAACAGTTTTAATACCCGATATGAGGGTGCATTTCGTATAAAAACGAGAATGTGGTGACTCTGCTTGTCTTTAACGAAATCTTGTTGTTTGTTTTATGCATTCCAAATTGAATAAATTAAAAAACTAAAGCTAACAATTAATTTAGTTTAATTGAATCAGAAACAAGTTGAATTTAAAATTGAATGCTTCCGAATTTTAAAAGAATGTCCTGCATGTAGGCTGTATAAGTCGAGGCATTTGAAATCTTCATGGTTCACATTGCGATAAATGAGATCGAAGTAACAAAAACGAAAAAAAAAAATATAAATACTAATTTTGTTACAAAACTAATAAAATTGTTTAATTTTAATATGAGGCTAAAGTATTATTTTTTTTATCAAATGCGACAACCGAGTATTGCCTTAATAGAAATACTTAATCCTCTTCCCCAGCTTATGTCTTCTTTTCGGAAGTATTTATCAAATGTTTGTCATGTTCGATCCCCTTAAGGCTTACAAGCAACCTCTTAACTTGTTTTGGTTGACGTTCCTCAATCATTTGTCAATTTTTGGTGGCACGACCTGCAGAAAAACAGTCAGCTTAAAACCCAATTCGTTCCATATGGTTGTAAAAACCATCGTGCTTTTCCCTAAAATGGTTTTAAACCCGAGGTGTCCCCCAATTAATTTTTGAATCATTTTTAGGCCAATAATTAAAAATGCATTTATTATATTCGAAATGCCGGGCAGGTTGGTAGGTTGATAGGCCTCGCAGCGGCGTTTATCGCCCCATACGCTTGGACACGAATTCGGTTTCGGAATGAACTCAGATTCAGCTCATAGAAGCAGACAATGCACTATGGGGTTTTTGACCAGTTTTTGTGGCATTAATTAATAACTCGATCAGTTTTGAAGATATCGACATGAAACTTTACCAATCATCATTATTTGTCCCTAGGCACATATAGTATGAAAATCGTTCGGATCAGGAATCTATATCCTATAGCTCCCATAGGAACGATCGGGTAAAAGTAAAGATAAATTAATGAAATTTAAGGAGCTTATATTTGTTGCTATTTTAACACGATATAGCAATTTTGAACAAAATCGGACAACGCTTTCCCTAGGAACCAAAATAACCATAATACCGGAAATCAGTGTTTTTCCATACAAACAGCTACCAAATTGGCTCTGAAAACAGTGAGGTTATCTGAGAAAAATTCAAATTGCAACAAAAGTGCGGAAAAGTGCACGATAAGACTAACTGCTTTTTACTCAGAATTGACAACGCTACAACATACACTTGGACGCATTGAAAACTAATGCGAACTTCTATTTCAAAACTCTTCCCAAAGTTTAAATTTGTTTCTCAAAATTCAGCTTAAGGTGCATTTATAAAATGACAAAATGTCAGTATAAACACGCACAATTTAAACAATTAATACCTTTAACATGTAGTTAAAACCTGTGAAATCAGTGTCCATTAGTTTTTTCCTTTTCAAATTGTGTCTTACACGAATAGTTTAATTTCAAAGATCACTTCGTAAAAATTACAAACTTAGCAGACGCGCTTTCGGATGCAACAGCTGACTTTACAGCTCTGTTGCTAACATATGCTGTTAAGTGTTAACATTTTGAGTATGAGGCATAACAGTTCGATGTTTTGTTAATACAATCCCACTATTTTTTTTTAATTTAAGAACTTTTAAAAAATGACTAAATGCCACATAAAGTGGTCAAAAACCCCATAGTGCAATGGGCCAATGTCAAAATCTCTCATGGTGTGAATTAATAAATTATTGAAATACTTTTGTTACGCAAATCATAATTTGTGTCCCGCGTCAACATTCACTTTTATGTTTTGGCTAATCTGTGCAGCGAGTGCTTTGCCTTTTTGCAACTCGTTCGATTTGCATAAAATATGCAAAGTGCGGCAATACTTGAGGCACATTAATCACCAGGTAGCCCCCTTTTTGGTCGGATTCCATTTCAAATTGAATTTTATATTATTATTTTGTTTTTTTTTTTTTGTTGATACTTTCATCCTAATGCATTTTGGGTCTATTAATTAATGACAAAGTAATTTCGGTTTCGCATTTCAAGTGGAAATTTATCGTATATTACTTTGACAGATCTTTGCATCTTTAATGCCCCCCACATAAACAAATTATTCAAGCCAAAATACCAACAAGGTTTCAGTTTCATTTCACTGTTTTTGGTTTATTTTTTCTCGTCACGGCCCTCGAAATTGGCGTGAGAAAGTGAGAAACCAGTTTCTTGGTCCGCCGGAGATCCCCCAAAACTTTATGATTTTTGCTGCCAACAGATAACAGCGATCCGTTAGAAATGTGGGCTAACTTATCATCTTGGCTTGTGCCCTTGGCTTGTGGACAGAATTCCCCCGCTAATGAGATGCAGTCCCGCTAATGCAACAAACTCTTTCAAAAAATATCTATTTTTTTGGGAAATTTTTGATGAGATGCACATAAATCAAAATGATATTTTATGTATTCTGCGAATAAGCCTTTCAGTAGGAAAAATAAATAAGTTTATATGCAAATAAGCGAGATTAAACTATTTTTCATATATATTTTTAATAATTTTATTATTAATAAATCGCTAAAGCGGTAAGAACATCTATTGAAATCTGATAAAATCTAAAACAATAATTTGTTTTGTCTTCCCTTCTCCTTATATTACACATCTTTAAAGGCTTTATAAATATTAACCAACAAATAAGAGCTTAAGAGGGAGTGGGGGGCATAAATAAACCAAAACTTCCTCAATCCGAAGAGACTAACAAATTGGAGAGGAAATCGAGAGCCTTTCTACCACCTTCGGTTTTTGATGTAATCCCGGTTACATTCACTCCACAGTAAAAGGGCCTCCAATTAGCCTTATATGGCCCTATCTGATCTCATTTCGAATGCATCTATTTTATGCCCTGTGTTATGACAACTAATTTCCGCTGGAAGCTGAGCATATCCAATTGTCGAATGGCCATCCCCACACTTTCGATTTGAACAGGTGATTTACCTTCACTTCGCTGACCGATTTCAAGTCCAAAATACGAGCGTCTCGCATCATTTTGGCACATTTAGGGCTGACAATATATATAATATATATAATATATCGCCCAATATATCTACGCCCAATCGGTTGGACACAAAGACCTAGACCTTGGGACAGACAGATGCGAAATATTCCAGTCCCCGAATTTACAATTTTCAATTCAATTTCCATTTGATAGCTTCAAGTTTTGGACAATAAAACAAGACACAAAGCCAAAGAGACAAAAGTGCATTTCGATTCGGGTTTGTATTTGTAACCTCGTCGCCTATCTTCGTCATCAATATTAGCATATGTATCTCTGTTTATTTGGTGTCATTCATCTCAACTGCAAAAATATCCAAGAAAAAAAAAGGAGGAAAACCTTTGTATTAATTTAAACGAGTTGTTGATTGTTTTCATGGCAGCCATGGCAAATCTGTTTCAACAACTTAATTATATCAAAATTTGCAATGCCTGAGAAATGGCAAGAAAAGAAGAATGATTAATGGTGAAATTTACTCAATACTCTGGGATCAATCTAGTTTTTTACCATAATCTTTATAATTATAGTTAGTATATCATAGTTGTTATAATATAATTAATTTTAAGGCATTAAAAGTTTTAAAAACGTGTAAATAAATAAGCTTTCTGAGATCTAAACTTTTTAAAATTAAACCAAAATCTTACTTTTTACACCCTAATGATCTAGATGATAACATTTTTATAGGGCGAATGCTCGAAATCAAATTTCTGTAACCCGGGCAACTTGTTTACAACGATTGCAGACTAACTCCCGAATGTATATCAGTGTCCATTGTTGTGACCACCTCTCGCTCGGCTTTTGTGGAGCTCCCTTGTAAATCCCATACAAAGGCCCACTTGCCACCCAACCAGATGGATGATGTTGATGTGACTGTGGATGTGGCTGTGACTTTAGATCCGATATCTTCGCCATGCATAACAAATGCTGTTTGTGTTTTATGGCCCACAACTGTTGCAACTGTCTTGACTGGCTGCTTCCGATTATAAACGAGTTTCGGTATAAAAGCCGAGAGCTCTGAAGAAGCCATCATCACAGCTCCAAGACACACAGACCGAGCGGGAGCATCCGGAGCAGACAGCTAACCAGCAGGCAGAGAAACCCACCAAGCGACAGCATGAAGATCTTTGTGGTGTGTTACCAATGGATTACTTACTTTTCTAGGAGAAACAAACGCAAGATCTAAAAGGATTATATACATTTCCCCTTCCAGACGGTTCTAATGGCGGCCACGTGCGCCTCCCTCAGCCGGGCGGACATCAGTCTGACCCAGGCGGGCTACAACTACCGCATCCAGCAGCAGCAACTGCAGCAGCAGCCACCTGTGGTGGCTCACCTCTTGAACCAACAGCTCCAGCAGGCTCAGCAGCAACAGCAGCAGCTGCAATCCTCGCATCCGGTTCTGCCTCCTCTTCCTCTGCCCTACCTGCCGCCCAGTGGTCAGTACCACCAGCATCAGGCTGCACAGCCCGTTGCCCGTCCCACTGCTGGATCCTTCCCCATGCCCACTGGATTCCCCGTCAACTTCCAGACTGCTCCCATCCAGCAGCAGAGGCGGGCCCGTCCGCGGGTCAGGATTCCCAAGCGCCCAATTGTGACCAAGAACTTCTTCATCCATTCGGCGCCCGAGGAGTCCGAGGACGAGGTGCAGGACGAGCTCAACCAGCTGGCCCAGCAGCCGCGCAACCACTACAATGTGCTGTTCGTGAAGACCCCGGCGCAGACCAACCGTGCGGCGGCTCTGAATCTGGCCAAGAGTCTCAAGCAGGAGAAGACAGTGGTCTATGTGCTGGCCAAGAAGACCTCGGCCGCCGATCTGCAGGATGCGATCGCTGAGGCGCCGCAGCATATCAACAAGCCGGAGGTGTTCTTCATCAAGTATCGCACACCCGAGGAGGCGCTCAATGCCCAGCGACAGATCCAGTCGCAGTACGACACCTTGGGAGGCAGCTCCACCATCACTGATGAGGGTGTGGCTCCCATTACCTCGGTGGTGGGATCACTGGACCCTCAGGAGGAGGACGAGGAGGAGCAGACCCAGCAGCAGTCATCCGAGGGACACTTTGTGGAGAACGGTGCCGGCAACGGCAACGGTGGTCCCATTGGCAATCATTATCTGCCCGCGAACCAGTTCTAAGTATTCTTCATTGCCCGCCACATCCAGGATCTAGTTAGTTAGCTGTCATCGATCCAAGGATACCCATAGAAGATGTCGCCTAAGTTTTAAGTGTTATTGTACCGAATTGCGTATTAAAAAAATGTTAAAAAGTAAACAACAAGATGTTTTAGAGTTTCCCTAAATGGGATTTATTTTTTATTGCATTTTATAGGAAACATTTTACGGATTAAAAAGGGAAAGTGAATTGGGAATAAGCTTATTGAATAAGTTTAATAAATCCTTAAAAACCTTCTTTAACAATGTGACATTTTAAAAATTAAGGTATGTAAGACCAAAGCCAAACCAATGATCAAGATGAGTAACGTACATAGAGCTCTCTCTCTCTCTCTCTGATTTTATTATGAAAAGTTTTCCTAGACAAAGTTAAATAAAGTAAACTCCATCTATATCGAATAATCCTCATTTTTCCCCTTCATTATTTCCTCCAGATTTTCATCAAGACTATCAGTTTTGGATAAACTCAGGTGAGTCCTTATAAAGTCGTGATAATAAGCTATGGAAGCATGGGCATCTGAAAGCAAATTATAAACAAATATTAATTATCATTTCGAAAACCCTTCCACCTAAATCTTACCTGGATATCCTTTGGCACAGGGCATGCCCCAGTTAACCAAAGCCACCAGCTTGCCGTTATGCACCAGAGGACCACCGGAATCCCCATGACATGCACCTCGTCCCTTGTCGTTAAAGGTGCACACATGACCGATATCCACACGGGAGCTATTGTCGTGGGCAGCGCGGCATTGTTCAAAGGGCACATAAGTGACCTCCAGACTCTGCAGCCGAGAGGGAACTTCTCCACCCAACGAGAGAGTGCCCCAGCCGGTAAGAAGCAGCCGGGAGCCAGGCACTAAGGCCTCGTGATCCAGCTCCACCGGCTGGGTGGCATTGTCAAACACTATGGACTCGTTCAGATGCAACAGGGCTATGTCGTTGCGATACTTGCGCGGCGCATAGTCCGAGTGTTCCACAATTTTATCCGGGTAGTAGTATCTCGAGGCGTTTTGCTGCAGATCCTGGGTGCCCGTAAGGACTCGGAAGCCCGCCGCCTGCTTGCCCCGCGTGCAGTGCGCCGCCGTGATGATCCAGCGCTCGTCGATGATGGCTCCGCCACAAGAGTGAAGACCACTTCCAACTCCTTGGAGTGAAATCTGGTAGGGAGCCACACCCTCGGCGGCATCCTCGCCGCCCACAATCCGATTGGTGGTGTACTGCGGCGGATACAGGATCTGACTGGAGGCATAAGAGCTGCACAGGATCAGAGGTAGCAGCAGGATGGACAACATTATGTTGGGTTATTACTTATACAACTGAGGACTAGTTTCGATTGGAACTACTTTTTATAGGTGGAATAAGTCTTGTAATTAGTACTTCCGTCACGTTCTTATGGTTTTGATACTATTTTTCGGAACCCAACTGGGCTAGAGCCTCACCCTCTTTGGTAGATAGAAGGGCACTTGGTATTAAAAGCACAAGGTTAAGAGCTGATAAGTATGTTTGTTTTCTTTAACAAATGCAACTCAATTTACATAATATTAACTTTAAATCAATTGATTAAATATCTGAAAGTTGAGCTTGAAGGGTTAATATGTCCCGATGTCTAGACGCTTTTTATTGATGGTACAAATCTTTGGATTTTTAAATTAAAAAGAACTGATACATATATAAAGTATAAAGTAGGGAAGTCTAGAGAGTAAAGTATAAAAATATAATGGAATATCACGAAAAATGTAGCTGACATATCAATAGACAGTTAGTTAGTTAATATGGTATATAAAAATAATATTTTTCCATTGCTTTTCACATGTACATATGTATATTTTTGTACAACAACTTAATAATCATGCTTAAAATCACAAATTCCTGAGAAGCAACTAGAAGTACTATGCATGTTTTTGTTGCCAAACCCTCCCTAATCTAAGTTCCAATATATTAAGTAATTCGATTAGCAATAACTAATACTTCCTGATATCACACTTCTTCCGAACTTGTTTGTTTATGGCCTAGTTCGCACCTGAGTCATTTCTGGGAACTCGATCATGATGGATCGCCGCAATGACTGACAGCTAAGAGTTATCTGAAGAGCCTGAAGTGGGGGATTTCTGGCACAGAGTCTAGAAACGATTGGAGACTCCATTCTAATATTAGACTACCTTACAGGTGGACAAAAAAAAAACAAGACATAAAACTGTTTTTATCTAAAGCTGAAGCGCTATTGCACCTTTTTATTTGTTCATAAATACGAGTATATGCTATCTGAGTGATAAAATTTACTGGCTAATTTGATCATTTGGCCATAGTCCATAAATATATGCCATTTTTGGTGGCTACTTTTGTTCGTTGTGGCTTTTCCACCCCCTCGGGTGATTTCTAGCAGGCAGTTCCCGCATCCGTCATCATCTCTGCGATCCAATCGGCGTAGTAAGCCACCGAACCAAAGACATCGGGATAGCCAATGGCACAGGCCTCGCCCCAGTTGACGACACCGACGAGGGTCTGATTCTCATCCACCAGCGGGCCACCGGAGTCTCCATGGCAGGATCCTTGTCCCTCCTGGGTGAAGGTGCACACATGACCCTCGCTCAGCCAGTTGGCATTGCGCACGCTGGACTCGCAGCTGGAGTGATCGATGTACTTCAGATCGATCTTCTGCAACTGGGTGGAGTAGCGACCCCAGGTCTTGGTGCTGCCCCAGCCGGTGAGGGTAAGCTTGTCACCGGCCTTGGGCAGGCTACCCTTGGGGGCCAGCTTAATGGGCTGAGTCAAGGCATCGTAGACAATCGGCTTGGCGGTGTGAATCAAAGCAATGTCGTTGTGATACGCCGGCTTGTCGTGGCTGCAGTGGATCTTGGCTCCATCCACCAGATATTCCGCTCCCGGCTTGGTAAAGTCCAACGTTCCGGTTATGACCTTCAGGTACTGCGTGGGCCACTCCAGGCAGTGGGCAGCGGTGAGGATATAATGAGGAGCAATGATACTGCCGCCGCACACATGCTCGCCAAAGGTGTTCATGATGGACACCTGGTAGGGGGCAAAGCCAGTGGCGGCATCAGAGCCACCAATAACCCGAGTCTCCGGCTTCACATAGCCCAGATGATGATTCAGCTGTGGGATGCGCTTCACGGGCAGTCGACGGGCCGAACATTGCGATGACAGGATCACCAGGACACAGGTCAGTAGAAGCCACTTCATATTGGTTTTAATTTGAATTTTGTAGAATTTTTAAAATTTCTCTCGAGGATTTTTCCCAGTGCTGTGTTGTCTGCAAGTTCCGTAAACGGTTTGTCCACTTTTTGGGTCAGGAATTGCTTTTATAGTCGAGGTTCGGGTTCAGTGCGAATTTCCCTTATCACGCCCAGAGTTTCGTGTTTCTTTCGAATGCCGTGCCGGCGATAAGCGGGCAAGTTCGAGGGAAGCTATGATAATGACAATTACCATAGCCACAATGCCTGGGCTGCTAGCTGATAAAGGGGAATTCTACGAGCCATTTGGACTGTGTATGATGATAGACAACTAGCTAGCACACGCCTGGCAAAAATTACTCATACGCAATGTGGGACTTTGCTCACAGCATGAGATCTTCAGACGTCGCCGATCGATAGGGCAACAATCGAATGGAAGTTTACTTGAAACTCAAATGAAATAATTGCTTAAGCTTCTACTTCTGCTGAGATATGGAAGAAGGCATACCCTTGAGGCATGTTATTTGCGTATTTATTTTTTGTGGGAACCCAAATGTAAACAAAATGTTTTAGATAAAAAATACGGAAGTGTTTGCCGCAAAAAAAATACATATATAAATAGAGTGATAAAGTCAGAGACACATTTATAGCGTAGAGCTTCTCGGATATTTGTTAAACAAAAATAAAAGTAGTAGACCTAAACCAGGGTATTATTTTGGAACCCAAAAAAAAAACCCACTTCCACCTGCTTTTTATAATGGCAATTATTAACATTTTGACTTATCACGTATCACTGGCAATTACAACAAAAGCTAGACGTCTGGCCTGGGGATTATCAAGATTTCCAATTAATCAATTCAATTACTTTCCATTTACTGTCTGAATCAAGGCCTTTGGACTTTGACATAATTTTTGGGCAGTGTTTGGAATATCTGAATATCTTCTGTGGAAGATCTGCCTCTTTAAACCAAAGACTGACAACAAAAGTTCACATGACTTTATTGCTTAGGAAATGGCACATCCGTTGATCGTAGACTTGATCCAGCTATCGTAGAAGCTCATTCGGACAAAGACATCGGGAAAGCCATAGCCGCAGGGCACGCCCCAGTTTCCAACACCCACCAGTCGTCCCTTAGCGTCCACCAAGGCTCCACCGGCATCGCCGTGACAGGCTCCGGCTCCCACACGACCCACGGCACACAGATGACCCACATCCAGGTCCTCAGTGCCGCCGTAGGTGGCATTGCACTTATCCGTCGGCACATAAGTCAAATCCAGTTGACGCAGCTGCCAGGCAAAGTCCGAACCGATCTCGGTGCTGCCCCAACCGTACATGGTTAGGGTTTCGCCCTCGACCAGATCCTCCAGCTCCGCGGTGGTTATGTTCTGGGTCACCTCGTCGTAGTCGAAGAAGGCATGGGTCTTGATCAGGGCAATGTCGTTGTGGTACAGTGGCTTGTCGAAGTTGCAGTGGGGCACCACCTGCTCCACGGAGTACTCCCAGCCGGCATCACCCCAGTCATTGTACGTGGTGGTCACTACCTTCATGTTGTTCGTCCTCAAGCCAGCCACGCAGCTGGCGGCGGTGACTACCCACTGATCGGCAATAATGGCGCCGCCGCAGACATGGTTACTGGTAAAAATTGGGAATTATGGGTTTAATACAAGCTAAAGTTTTATATGAATCGAATCATCTTAGTTTTTAATTAAAAAATGTTCATCTAATCTTTGAATTTAAAGTATCCTTTGTCATATTTCCCGATCTAAACAATCTGAAATCACCTACCCAATGGCATTCTGCAGTGAAATTTGGTAGGGAGCTGCCGACACATCGGACAATTCTCCACCGACAATCCGAGAGTTGAACTTATTCGCGGCGCCCGCGGCTTCCCTCACTCCAGCAGGTAAGGGGCGTCGCCGGAAACTGGCCTCCGAAAAGGACACTGCCAGCAGGACGAGGGCAAGGACGAGCAGGGAGACCGCTCGGATTTGGCAAGACATCTTGGACGAACTGTTGAAGTTGGACTAACTGCAAAGGAGTGGAAGTTGGAAATCAGCTAACCTTCGATATACGATATTCGGCATACGATATAAGATAGCTGGCGTGATATTAATTGGCTGTCCATAAAAAAATTGTGCAATCTCAATCATGGTCAGCCGGGGCCAAAAAACCAAAAAAAAACTCTCCCCTTATAAAAATCCTATTACTTTTAATACATCGGTCATAGAAATCATAAGTGATAAGTACACTGAAGGAAAATTAGCATTAAGAAGCTATATGAAATTATTAATTAAAAAAATTAAATTAAATTAGTTTCACGGGGTGTTGGGGATTAGTAACCATTAATAAAAACTAAATTAACCCAAATAATTTATTTTTTATTAGGTGGTTACCAACCCCCCTCCTTGACCTCGAGCCGGTTTAAACTACTTTTCATAAATATTAATATTATAATATTAGTACAAATATTTAATAAAAGTATTTATCAATAAAAGATGTCCTGGCAAGTACTTAAAAAAAAAAGTGAAAAAAGGAATCAAGTTTTTAGCAAGTAATGGGGGCCTTTTGCACTATAATACCAAAGCCAGAAACCATTGTCTTGCTGCCCGTTTTTGTGTTAATAAATATATTAAATAAACAATAATCATCATTTCTTCTATGAAATCGTACAAAAATTAAATTTATTAACAAATGGAAATACAATTTGTACATCGTTTAATCTAAATTTAAATGATATTATCCCCTAATAGTAGATTTATAGAAACGATTTAATATTTAATTATTTAAACTATTAACATTGCCAAGAATAAGTCTGTAACCTGTAAGATACTCTGTGATATCAAATATTGAACCATATCTGAACATAAGAATATTTTTGATAACTAAGTAATCTCTGATAACGGATCTCAACATAAAGATTTATGCTAACCATCGAGATATCTTTTTCTTTAATCTACAAATGTTGAATACAAAAATTATCGTAAAATAAAGTCAAAAATCATGTGTATAACAACGTTTAATATAGCTTCAAGATGTATGTACTTATTAAGAAATCAATCATGTGCTAATTTCTTATAAATTCACATTTTTCCCTCAGTGCACCGATAAGAGGTGGCCAATGTCTAGGCGATTGTACAGCCGTTCATCGTGGTGCGGATCCAATCGTGGTAAAAGGCGGTTCGCGCATACACATCCTAGGGAAATAAATGGCCATAAATGAGATTACCCTGCTATGGTGAGGGGACACATGGATGTGGACTACTCACCGGATGACCGTGACCGCAGGGTACGCCCCAATTACCAAGTCCGACCAGGCGCTGCTGGCTATCGATGAGCGGTCCGCCAGTGTCACCATGACAGGCACCCTTGCCCGCCTGCATCTGGACGCAGACATGTCCCAGATCCACATCCTCAGTGTCGTCCAACAGTTTACTGCATTCCTCCACCGGCACATAAACGCCGGAAGATTCCTGCAGATACCGCTCGTAGGTGCCCATGGCCTCGGGACTGCCCCAGCCGGCAAAGGTCAGCGTCTCGCCCTCCTGCAGCTCATCTATGTCCGCCAAGGTGATGTTTTGGGTCACATCGTCGTAGACAATGTCCTCGGACAAGTGCAGCAGGGCAATGTCGTTATGGTACAGCGGCTTGTCAAAGTTGCAGTGTACGTGGATCTGGTCCACTAGGTAGTAGCTGGCGCTGAGACTCCACCAGTCATTGGTTCCGGTGACCACCAGCAGGTTGCGAGCCCTTAAACCCGACACACAACTGGCGGCGGTGAGCACCCAGCGTTCAGTGATAATGGTTGCACCGCATAGGTGATAGGAGTACACATTCTGGATGGATGCAATCCAGGGCCAGCTGCCCTCGGAGGCTGTACTGCCGCCAGCGATGCGTCCCTGTGGGTTAGTGGTCACCTCCTGACCGTTGCGATGCCTGTTGACATTCGTCAAACCCGGAAGTGGCTCTCCTCGCAGCCTCATCCCCTGCGAGGGAGCACTCTGAAGGGTCAAGAGGAGAAGCAGCCCAGGAAATTTCCACCAAGTTCTCATGGCTGTAGTGTGGAATCGAAACTAAAAGCCCTCAACCGGACCACCTTAAAATTACACCTCCTCATTCATCAGATCTTATCGCTACCCCTGGATAGCAGACTGTTTATGGGGGTCTGGACGGAGGCGATAAGTGGCATTCATACCCGGAGTGGGTCTCCGGCGTTGTGAGCTAGTTGCTCCAACGGCTCGGTGCATTTATAGAGCGCCGAGATTTACCGTGACCAGTCCAGTTTACGGTATACCAGCTCCAATTGAACCTACCGCCGATACCGTTTGGGTTTTATCCTTAAAGCTGTAAAGATACCTGGTCAAGGGCCATAAAGATTGGATGGTCAGCAGAAAAAACCCGAGTGGGCAAAGCCCCGGACAGCGATAAAATGGGTTTATATGGTGATTCCATATAAAAACGCCCAGTTGGGTCATACAATTTTCCATTGCTGGTCATTAATTCGCGCGGCTCTGTCCCCCGTTACCGTCTCCGTCTCCAAGTCCAAGTCCGAATTGGAGTCCCTGTCATGGTCGGTGTCCGTCTCCTGTCCCTGTCTTTGGTGTGTGGGCTGCTGGCCACTGCCATTGACGTCACGCAAGGCAAAAGACTGGAGCAACTGAATCATAAAATCTTAAGGTATGACAACCGCATTGTGGGTGGGCAGGAGGCAGCTGATGGTGTGGCACCCTATCAGGTGTCCATTCAAACCACCTGGGGAACGCACATCTGCAGCGGTGTCATCCTCGATGAACAGTGGATACTCACCGCCGGCCACTGTGCCCTGGACTATGGCCTCGCGGATCTACGGATCATAGTGGGCACCAACGATCGCCTTAATCCGGGCCAGACTCTGTTCCCTGACGAAGCTTTAGTCCACTGCCTGTATGATGTTCCGTATTTGTACAACAATGACATTGGTTTGATCCACGTAAACGAGTCCATCATCCTCAATGATCGTGTGCAGCTCGTGGAGCTGAGCTCGGAGCAGCCGCCGGTGGGAGCTACGGCCACGCTGACGGGCTGGGGTGCTCCGGAGAATAGTTTGCCCACGGTGCAGTTCCTGCAGACCCTCAACCTGACCATCATCGATCACGAGGAGTGCCGGGAGGCATGGGATTATCACACTGGCATCGACATTGGCCACATCTGCACCTTCACAAAGGCGGGCGAGGGCTCATGCTCCGGCGACTCTGGAGGACCCCTCATGTGGGAGGGCAAGCTGGTGGGTCTGGTCAATTGGGGACGACCCTGCGGCTTGGGCATGCCAGATATGTAAGTCGATATTTTGTGAATTTTTGATAATCTTTAAGTATTATAATTTCCTTCCGATTTAAGGTTTGCCAACACCATTTACTATCAGGATTGGATCCGTAGGACTCGCTCGGGCTGCAAGAATCGGGTCACCTAAGGAAGACATCACAAGAGATCGAATGTTAAAAATATGGCTGACCCTGCTACGGCATGAATATGCCAAATATATATTTATTATTGGTTGAACAACAAAAAAACCGTTTTGATAACATGAATACACTTACTCATGCAAGGAGGGACAAGGCGAAGGCCCGGGCCTGTGGTCATTAGCTGGGCAATCTAGGCTTTTATGGATCTGTTTACTGAGGTCTTATGACATCAGATAATACATAGTATGTTATGTTTGCTGGGGCAGTCGAAATTTAAAACGGGAAATGCTTCAGACAGGCTTGCATACTCTAGTTTTTTTTTCTTAGTTTACAAATTGTTTGAGTAAAAATAAGAGTTTGATACTTATTCTAGGTCTTCAAAAAGGAAAAGATTTTTAAAATGATTAAAAGCTATATGAGTTGAATTGTGTTATGTTTATTATTGTGTTATGTTTATTATTGACTTTGATAAATGCCTTCAATTATCATATTCATGCTTGCTTTGTAGAAATGATGATTAATTAAGGATTTTTTATTGATGATTGCGGCTAACAGGGATACGTGATCAACATGCAAGGCTGTGTTAATTTTAATAAGAAGAAAAAAGCTTGCCTTCGTATACATTATATTTTATTTATTAAGTTAAATAAAATTATATTATCATTCAAATAATCTGAACAAAAAACCTATTTTTAATCAAAAGTTATAACAAAATAATTTAAATAATTTGGCTGGTACTTTATAATATTAAATACAATTTTAGTACAAAATCAACAGCAGATAAGATGACAAATAAGCAATATATATACTATATATTGATTAATTATTAATTATCAATTAAAAGTTCAATAGCTTCTGTGACTATGAGCTTCAAAAATCTAGATTTTTATTTCCATTTCTAATTTAAAGCATTAATTTATTGTTTAAAAAATATATACAATTTAATTTTTACAGGTTTTAGTTTACTTTTTAATTGTCTAATTGCATCTTATATGATTTTAGGGCTTTGCAAATTAATGTATGTATTTATATCATCGTTAAATAATAGTTTTAAGTAGAAAAAAACTTTTTTTTCTTGCTAAATAATATTATTAGAATCCATTTACTTTTGTCTTACTATTATTTTAAATCTATATATATATATATATTTATTTAATCTATAAGTAAAGTAATGTAATCTAGGTAATCCTTGTAGGCGTACCCTGTTTATTTTTTGGGAAAACATCTCGTGTCAATGTCCAGCTGCCTTTGCTCCGCCCGGATATTGATTGCCCCTGTCACAAATCAGTCATAATCAGAGTACGTCTATATCATTTTATGGCAGGCCCAGACTTTATGGCATAGATACATACTTGCGGGAACATCGAATCCGATTTACGATAAAACTCTACGCCGCTTACGATATTGAGCGTTTTTTGGCGAATATAAAAGCCAAATCACGACCCATATGCAGGCTTAATTGGCTCAATACCGTTCCGAATCAAACACTTACGACCTACCATGTTGCGTCGCGGTCTGCCTGCGACTTTGGTCCTTGTGATCCTGCTGACCTGCTGCAGTCAACCCAGCAATGCCGTGCGTCAGGTTGAGCTCAGCAAGGAGCAGGTGGCGAGGATCGCACAGGCGGGTGGAGTTACCTACCAGAATCGTGTGATCAACGGCGAGGATGCGGCACTGGGTGAAGCCAAATACCAGATCTCGTTGCAGGGCATGTATGGAGGCCATATGTGCGGCGGTGCCATCATCAGCGAGCGCTGGGTCCTGACGGCGGCGCACTGCGTCTACGGATACAATCCCCCCTACCTGCGAGTGGCCACGGGCATGGTGCGATGGGCCCAGCCGGATGCACTGTACTTCGTGGAGGATTACTGGGTCCACTGCAATTACAACAGTCCCGACTACTACAACGACATTGCCCTGATCAAGCTGAACGACACCATCAAGTTCAATGAATACACGGAGGCCGCTAAGCTGCCAACGGAACCGCTGAAAAATGGTACACAACTCCTACTCACCGGCTGGGGATCCACCGAGCTCTGGGGAGACACTCCCGACATCCTGCAGAAGGCCTATCTCACGCACGTGGACTACCCAACATGCCAGAAGCTCTTGAACAATGATCCCTTCAATGGACCCTGCCACGCGTGCACCCTGACCAGCGGCGGCCAGGGCGCCTGCCACGGCGACTCCGGCGGTCCGTTGACCCAGAACGGAGTGCTATATGGCCTGGTCAACTGGGGCTATCCTTGCGCCACTGGAGCTCCCGACAGCCACGCCTATGTATATTACTACCTGGACTGGATCAGGCGCCTGACATCCGAGACCTGCAGCAGCAATTGCGATTGCTATGCCAGCAATTATCCGTGAAGAGTAAGTGTGAAGTGGTGCTAACTCCAGATTAGGAAACGATAACGATTTCTCAGGATAACGATAAAAATAAAGATAAATGTCACATGTTAAGCCTTTTAAAAGAAATAAAGGGTTTTTTGATTGAAAGATATGTCGTTGAATATTAATACAACTATTTTAGATTACTTTGCTTTGTGGTTTATCAGCACTTTGAAGACAATATATCTACAAAGTAAAGATATATTGCATATTTAAATATTTAGAACACATTTGCAATTAAAATTAGATAAAATAATATTTTTCTATTATTAAATTAAAAACAGATAAAATTCCTAAAAGTTTTTTAAAAAGTTAAGAAACAGGTTTGGTCTAAAGGAGGTCATATTTTCTTCAACCCTTTCCCATAAATCAAAAAGTAAAACCTTTAATACCTTTAAAATTCCATAAAATTTCAATTTTTGAGCCAACTCTTTTTTTATTTTGTTAAGTACATCCCTTAAATTAATTAGCAACATTTAAGGCTTGCAATTAATGTAATTAACCACACTCTAGTAGTAGCACCTGTCGTTGCCGCTGATCTTGCTGCGAATCCAGTCCAGATAGTAGTACACATTGGCCTGGACATCGGGAAAACCCACTCCGCAGGGTCGTCCCCAGTTGACCACCCCCACCAGCCGGCCATTGCTGACTAGTGGACCGCCGGAGTCGCCGTGACAAGAGCCCTCGCCCTCCTGCGAAAAGGTGCAGATATGGCCCACGCCCATGCTGCTGGTCTGGTTGAAGATATCGTAGCACTCGTCCAGAGGCACGAAGCCCATGGTCAGCTTCTGCAGGTTCTCCATGGCGCTGCCATACGCTTCCTGAGCACCCCAACCCGTGAGCACGATCTCATCGCCGGGACGCACGGGCCGGATAGGAAGATCAATGGGCTGCGTCAGCTCGTTGAAGGTGATGTTCTGCGTGAGCTTCACCAGGGCGATGTCGTTGTGCATATACGGCTGGTCGTACATGCAGTGCATGTGGATCGATTCGGTATAGTAAACGGCTCCTGGCTCGGCCCACTTATTGGTGCCGGTGATCACGTTGACAAGGGCGGGCGTGAAAGTCTCCACACAGTGGCCAGCGGTTATGATCCACCGTTCGTTGATGATGGCCCCGCCACAGTTATGGGCACCCACTATAGGCTGGAGGGAGACCTGATAGGGAGCAGATCCTATTTCGGCATCCTCACCGCCCTTGATCCTGCCCGTCAGACCCGTCGGATGGGGTCCAACCAGCCGCTTGGCCTGGCCGGGATTCGGGTTCTGAAGAAGCAGGAGAAGCAAGACGCTAAGGTGGAACAGCTGCATCTCGAGGGTTTTGGCCACGTACTGAATACTAAAAGCCACTTTGGTCGCTATCAAAACTTTATTAATGAGTCTCAATGGGCCTTATCGAGGGCTACAGTTTATCGTGGCCTTATAAACTGGCCAATTTAATGGGCAACGATAGCCCAAAGGGGGAATATGGAACTCCTAAACCTGGTTGGTGCTGAAGCCTCCGCATTTTACATTGCCACTCATGATGTTGCGCATCCAATCTTTATAGAACAAGACATTGGCATGGACGTCCTGTAATTAATTGAAAAATTTATAGGGGAAACACTTTTATTTAGTGGAAAACTAAAATAGAAATAATTGGGTTTACTTTTGGATACTACGATATGGTATCGTCAACATTATCAGCCACATTTTATAAGCAATAAGTTGGCTTTTCTACCTTATCAGACTTGGAGTTATAAATGAATATAAATATTTTGAGTAAGTTATGTAAATACGAATTTTTAGAGTAGGGTTTATTAGGTTAACTAAGGAATTGTACATTTCAGTTAGCATTTATCGAACAGATAAACTGCCAGTTAACAGATTTAATAAACAACTAATGGGAGAGCCAATGCAAGTCGTGGAAAAGATTTGTGCAGATGTCAAAATTTTACTTACAGCAGCCTTCATTGGTTAACTTTGTTGGACAGTTAAGAAATTACGACTTTATTTCCACATAGAAAAAACGAAGATTTTTTAAAGAAAGACGATTTAGTAAGAATATTTAATAAGATTTGTTGATGAGTTCAAATATCCATAAACTTTGATTGACTACTAAGACACAAGCACTTTAACTTAACACAGATAAACCATAAATTTTTGAAAAAGAAAATCGATTTTGAGAAGTTGAAATATCAACGGTAAGTTTGATCGGCTGCTAACTATAACCTTAACTAGACATTAAGAAACCGAAGATATTTCAGATATTTTTTAGAAACAAAAGGGAGCTTAAGCAGCCCAAATATCACCAACGGCAGATTTGACTGGTCATTAACTAACAGGAAAGCTACTAGCACTCTAACTCTAAATAAAGAAAATAATAAAAGAAGAAAAAGACAATCGAAGATTTTAAAGGGATTACACATTTTTTCCCCAAGAACAATTTGTCCACTTAAAGTTTCTATAACTTACCGGCACTCCAATGGCACAGGGCCAACCCCAGTTGACCAGGCCCACGAGGTAGCCATTGCTCACCAGCGGTCCGCCCGAGTCCCCATGACAGGCGCCCTCGCCCTGCCGCGAAAAGGTGCAGATGTGGCCCACATCGCAGTCGGGATCGTTGCTAAGCAGCCCCAGGCACTCGCGGTGCGGCACATAGCGTAGGTAGACCACCTGCAGATCGATGGGAGCAATGCCCCCAAGAACAGTAGAGCCCCAGCCGGTGAGTATAACCTCATCGCCCGGCTGCATGGGCACTTTGGCTGTGGGAATGGGCTGGGTGCGTTCGTTCCAGACAATCGGTTCCTTCAAGTGCAGCAGGGCAATGTCGTTGTGCATGTCGGGATTGTCGTAGTTGCAGTGGATGTGGATTGCCTGAAGGAAGTACCTGCCACCAGGTTTATTGTACTGATTGGTGCCAGTGACCACCACCAGGAAGTCGATGTTGGCATTGGCCACACAATGGGCGGCGGTGAGGACCCACTGCTCGGCGATGATGGCACCGCCGCAGGAATGGGCACCAGAGATGCCCTGCAGGGAGATTTGATATGGAGCAAAACCCTCCGGTGCCGCCTCACCGCCAATGACTCGCTGATCCTTGAAGACATCCGCTCCGGTGGCGTTTCCCTTGACACGAATGGCCCAGCCGGAGGAGGAGATCCCTCCGAGTGCCAACAGAAAAAGAAGCAAGGCCACTGGCGACATCTTGGTTCTGTGCTCGGGAACCTAATGCGCTGAGCGACCACTTTCTTGACCATTTATCGGAATCAGATATAAAATCAGTTTATGGAGCGCGATTCGAGGCAACCTTTGGCCATTCGCGCCGTTCGGGCTTTACGACGCCAATGCATAGTTCAATTAAAACCGCCGAGGGTGAAACCAGACAAGTTCAGTCAGTGCTTGCATTCCCGCCATGGCGTTCCATTCGCGCTTCCCTCTGTTGTCAGGCTTGGTCCTCCTCCTCTTTTGCGGTTGCCTTCTAGCCCAGGAACACTTCATTGTCGGAGGTCAGAATGCCGTTGAGGGCGATGCCCCGTATCAGGTGTCGCTGCAAACCCCCGTGGGCAGTCACCTGTGTGGTGGAGCCATCATTGCGGATCGCTGGATCCTCACCGCCGGTCACTGTGTCAGAGGTTATCCCGCCAGCCGTCTCCAAGTGGCCACAGGGAGTCTGCGCTACGCGGAGCCCGGAGCCGTTTACTATCCGGATGCCATCTATCTGCACTGCAATTACGACACTCCCAAATATCAGAACGACATTGGGTTGCTGCACCTGAACGAGACCATCGTCTTTGATGCCCTCACGCAGGCAGTGCGTCTGCCTAGTTCCCCCCTTCCCCAGGGCACCGCAAATCTTGTGTTCACCGGTTGGGGCGCCCAGTCGGCTTCGGGCAGTCTGCCCTCGCAGCTGCAGCGCGTCCAGCAGCAGCATCTTGGCAGCCAGGTCTGCGCTTCTCTACTCAGTCCCTATGAGGATCTGGAGCTGGCTCCTGGCCACCTTTGCGCCTACCGACAGGCCAACATAGGCGCCTGTCACGGGGACTCTGGCGGTCCGCTGGTCTATGATGGGACCCTGGTGGGCGTGCTCAACTTCTTTGTGCCGTGTGCCCAGGGCGTGCCGGATCTATTTATGGATGTCATGTACTATCGGGATTGGATGCGACAAACGATGAGTGGCAATGGCAAGTGTGCGCAGGTCAATCAGCAGATAATAATTGGTTAAATAAATACTGTTAAAAGCACTAATAGAAAAAACGTTCTTATATAAGGAGGAATCATATTATTATTAAATCTATTTAACTATTTTATAATTATAAACATTTAATGTAAAACATTTATCAATATAAAGGAAGCAATTCAATTATAAATAAATAAAACGTTTTCAAAAGAAAACTTCAAAATAAGTTTTCTGAAAAATAAAACGGAATCTTCAAATCCAAAAAGCAATTTATGACAAACTAGTTCAAAATATAGCAAAATTTAAATATGCTCAGTTTTTTTCTAGGAAAGGTATAATGTCTTGAGATGAATTTGACATTATTAAGTTGTCTAGATTTTTGAAATACCACAGGAATTTATGACTGTTTTACTGTTTGCCTGATACCCCATAAAAACCATTTATAATCATGAATTTTCATAAAATAAGGAGACCTTGCTGTTACTAAACATATTTAATACTTAGGCTAATTGACCACTATTTTTTAATGTGATGCAAAGATTCCTGGAGATATTGAATCTCTTGGCCGTGGGCCAGGAGACCGATCCAACGGACAGACGAAATGTCCAAGTGATTCATCCTCCCGCCACTTTCTGATTTATGGATGAGTCCCCGAGACAGGGAAGTGTCTCCCTGGCCACACGTGTCGCCCTGCTCTAATTGGAATCAGGTAGAGCACACCCCAGACACCACTAGAGACACCATCAGAGACACTGGTGGCTGTATTAGTCATGTTTTTTTTGAGTGCGCCTGACAGAAATCGCTCACGGCGCATGGAAATTCTGAAAATATTTTTCTTTTTGCGCTCGCTATTCAGCTACCAAAAAAAAAAAAAAAACTGGGAAAAACACTCAGTTGTGGGTTGTGTCTTGGCATTTTCGAAAAGATTTTCAGTTGCTGCATTGACTTGGACGTGTGCGGATCTTGAGTTTTTCGTTTGGAATACGCGGCGTATACGCAATCTTCGGTCTACATATATGTAGACGCGTGTGTGTTGTTCATATTTCTATATATACGCGAATATATAGCAAGTGAAATTTCGCAACTTGTGCATAACCGAGGGGATAGAAATTGTTGAAAAGCCCAATGAAAATGCCAAAGTATGTGAAATAATGTCTCCGATAAAGGCAATTGCGCGTTGAAATGTATAGTACATACGAGTGATGACGAATAATTCGCCGAAAAGTGCTCTTATCTGCGCAAAGGAATATATATATATCCATTAAATATATGTGAAATATATTAGATTTGGAATATTTCATGTCTTGCGACTGCCTGTGTGAATTTTTGTGTGGCGTTGCCATTTTGTGAATAATTTCCCCAATGTGCGCCACTGTGCTTCTTGGCCTTTTGCTGGACCAAAGCAAAGAAGCCATTAATTGTTTTTTTTTGGCTGTGAGAACGTAAAGTGCATTTTTGTGTCTCGGAGGCGCCAGATGATGCTGCTGCTGGTCTTGGTCTTTATTTAGCAACGATCGCACGCTCTGGCGCACCTGAGAAATTTTAAATATACCTGGGGGAATTGAGCAACTCTCCGGGGCTTGAACTTATTTCTTATTTTTATTTTTCGAGCTTTATTTTAGAAAAAGAAGTACAATTTCTTGGCATCCCGGGGTACTTGGCCACAGGGTCCTGGAAAGTTACAGGGCTGATGATCGGGTCTCGCCGTGGTCTCTGGCTGGGGAGTGGTGTCCGGATCCCAGTAGTGGGAATCGGTGGTCTCTGGCTGATACTCAGTGGTGTCTGGTGGTGTATACTGGGACAAGGCACAGCCTCCCAGGACACACAGCATCACAAAGAACGTTGTGAACTTCATCTCGATAAATATCAAAGGCGACTGATAAAGCCTCAACTTTAGCATCACCTTATAAATAATGCTGTATCTACGCATGTTAGGCTCATTTATTTATTCGTCCAAAAACAGTTGGTCTCAATTGTTCTTGAAAAAATACTAAAGTAAAATTACTATCACAAATATTTGAATTGTTTAATTTGTGTGGCCTGCAGCTGTTGTGTAGTGAAAGTATTTATTTAAGAATTTGTTCGAAAAGATGGAACCACCTTTGTATACTCTCTTGTTTTTGTTATTGCATCCCGCTGAGCCATTTGTTAATTGGATTCCATTAATTTTCGGTGAAAAATATGTATATACTTAGGGGCAGAATCAAGGAAGGAAAATAAAGCGTTGGCACGTGAAATTACTTGTTGGCAATGGGGCGTATGCGCAACATAAGGCATTAACAGCCGCAGCAGCTGTTGGAGAAACTCAAATGTCATGAATAATGATAACTAATACAAATTAAATTTGCTTAAAACTACACGCGTTGAGCGTCAAACTCTAATTGTATTATTAAATAATCTATATTTTGGATTTTATATATTTGGGATGATTATAAAATTCATATTTAATCAAAGCGAAATATTTTTATTAAAGATTTTGAGTGATTATTTAACAAAAAAATATAATTACCTTAATTTCTATAAATACAAATTAAAAGAATTATTTTTAAATAATAATAAAGTATTTAAAATAACTTATTCCTTTAAAATATAGCTCTTAAACGCTTATAATTTGTCTTAAGATAAAGTAAACCTTTTTTAAAGTAATTTCCTAATATCTATCTTAATTCCTTTTCATAGAAAATATACAATCTAAACCTATATAGAGAAGCATCTTTAGTTCTTATACATTCGACTTCCAGAAAAAGTACTCTTTGTTTTATGAGTTCTTGCGATGCCGATCTTTCAGCTTTGAAATCACGTAATCAAAATAAAATTTACGATATATTTAGCGTGCTCTGGCTGAGTTTTATCTAAGGAACATACATAAACATTGGCCCAGAGAGAGTCTTTCGACCCAAGCAAAATAAAAACCAAGAATTTATGACAGCTGATTTGGCCGGAGGAGCGTATTAGTCATATCATCCAAGACGATACTAGCCACACAGCATATAGTATATGCTTTATGCTTTTGATTTCATATTTTTGCGTATTTTATTCGCGAATAATGAGTCAACAGGCGGGGGAACACGGAATGCAAAATCCGAATAGCGGATTGTACTTGAAATAAGTCAAATGAGGCATTCAAGCAGGAGCCAGCAAACAGAAAATTTAGCAAAAAAAAATGAGAAAAGACCGCATACAGATCTATGAATAGAATAACAACAAAATCAGCTGCGCGTCGAAAATCACAAAATCACATTTGCTATGACTTAAGGAGGGGGCCAAGACTGAGGCAAGACGGGAATTGGCCAAAAACCTGCCAAACAGAGTCAAGAGTGCAGTTGACGTCGCTGTCGGCGTCACATGCAATACCAAAAACACAACACAAAACACGAAGCAAAATAAATATTGAACAAATTATGTATTGAAGATGTATGCACACTCGAGGTTGACCATATAGCAACGGAGAGTGATTACTTGGCTGGAGGTTTAGAATTAAATTTTTAGTTGATAAATTATATAATTTAAAGGTAGTGAATAAAAAATGTTATTTTAGACTTACAATTGCTTGTAAAAAAAACGCAACAATAGAGAGCAAGTATAATTTCTTGTAAAATTATGGTATAAGCTGGAACTGAATGTAATGGGATTTCCTCAGCCAAAGTACACCTTCGTCTAGGGAATGCAAAAAATAATGATATATCAACACAGTATCGATATTTGAACCCACAACCGATATATAAATTGATATCGACATTTTGTTTGATATATCGGACCAAATTCCTACTTGGTAACACAGAAAACTTTTTCTGTATCGATATTTTAACGATATTTTAATTTCGATATACTCAACTTTATAATGTTTTTAAGTATATTGCTAGCGAAATTATTCTCGGTTACTTTAAGTTCCGAATATTCCAAACATTGAACTGAAAAATTTATTGAGAGTTGCTATTAGAATGACAATTTCCCATAGTATAGCTGAAAATAAGTATATTGTATTGATATCTGTCACAAACACCGATACAAAAATTGATGTATTCCGAAAAATCGATGTTCCGTTTGATAAATCGAACCAATTTACGTCTCCAAAACCGGCTGGTTTAAGTAGTTGGAAATTCATAAAATTATTCTAAAAAATAAATATTTTAACGTTTAATGCCATACTTCAAATTTCGATTTTTCAGTCTTGAAGATATTTTAAGTATTTTTACCATATTTGTTTATGGATTTATAAATAGCAACTTTTCCCTTGCTACATTTAGATTATATTTTCAAAAATTAGCTATCAGAATAATACTTTCTCAACCACAATGCACCTTTATGCTACCATCCTCGGCTGTGTGATTCTTCTGAGCAAATAATAATAAAGAAATTGAAAAAATAAAGCTGCGCGCGCCGTTCTGCTGCATAAAAACTTAGAGCAAGGAGGCGCACACAACTCAGTTGAGTTGAGGAATTGTCGCGGCCAGTACGAGACGAGTACGAGTGCAAACCGAACCGCGCAAGAAATTATAAACATAGATATATATATTTTCAAATCGAATAGTTTGAGTTTTGTTTACGAAATAGCAGAGAGCCCCACCAGTGTGTTTGTTGTGTTGTGTGTTTCCCAAAAAACGTGCTCGCAAGCCATTGTGTAATTACTAATTAGCGGGCCAATCAAGTGATCAGTATTAAGCACCCATCGAAGTATTACGACTCGAGATCATTCAACACCCATCGATATGGCGTCCCGAAGAGTGAGTGTGTGTTTGGTGGTCCCTATATCCCACACCCACGATTTTCCATTGCTGGGTTTTAAATATATATATTTATATTCTTACAAGCGAATTTGGAGGACATGTGGTTTTCATTACCCTTTCATAAAAACGAAATATTTTTGTCAATTTATTTTTAGTCTACAGCCACAATTTCTGCTCACTTGCGCCTTCGGCGTGTAAATGTTGGGTGTAATTTTAGTTTCAAATAAATTCAAATTAATTAAAATGGAAGTGAAAATTTATTTAGCATTTCATTGGCGCAGAACGACGCTGAATCATGTGGCAATGCAAGTGGCGCCTCACGTAGTTGTCGTCGCATTATCGCATTGTCGCCGTTTTTGGTCCGAATCGAGCGGTTTATTTCCATATAGGGGGAATCGAATGTTGGACGGACCGATAGTGCCATAAATGGGCAGCAGTCCAAAGCCGCACTCGCACTACTCCCTTGTGGAATGTGGTGAAGGACTTGCTTCCAAAACAAAACAACACTAAATATTGT